CTGGGCCCGAAGCTCTGGCCACGGTGCCTGCAATGTCGCTTCGGAGAGCAGCCGGGGCGGCGGCGCATGTTTCAAGACTTGCCGAGCAAATATGATGGTCGCACGTCGCGGGTGCCGGCATCGGGTCATGCCACGGGAAGGAGGAAACTCAGGTCGACCTTTTTTTAGGAGCTGGAGCTGAGGATGAGTGCCGGGACGTCACTGATGATGAGCTACAGATACGAAAGTGACAAGGAGCATTGCCGCTCGCAGCCGTGCACCCCGCGACGCCGATCCAGAGGCTGAACTGCGGCGAGCTGAGATGTTTTGGGCGGCGGCAGGAGAGCAACTGGCGCGCTCAGCTTCATCTCGCGGGCACCACCACGCGCGGCTGGCGGTGGCAGATTGTGACGGCCGAAAAGCCGTGGCTTCCCGCGCGCGCCAGGTCGACCTGAGCATTTGACGACTTGTGACTGACTCGATGTGCCGTCGATGGTTCGGCGAGTGGCGCGTCCGAGAGCTCAGGGCCATGAGGTACGGGCCCTTGAACACGTGGGGCGGCTGCTCAGCTGGAGGCGCGACGACAAGCCGTGGCGGTTGGAGACGGCGGGCCTTTTGCTCTTGCGAGCAAGGTGCGAGGTAAACGAGGCTCGAAGAACCGTGGTGCGCGAGTAATACCGCTCTCAGAGCAAGCCGCGGGACGAGGATGGGTTGCGAAGCGTCCGACGGTGCTCTGTCCACGATGGCTTGTACTCGTATGCACCACCACGACCCCTCCCGCTAGTCTTTCGTGGTTGCGCTTGCGCGTGCGACACAAGCTTTGGGCATGGAACGATGTCGCATTGTCGATATGCCTTTGCCGTGCCGCAGCTGGACGGTGGCGGTGGTGAAAAGTGATGTTGATGAATGATGATGACTTCGGGACGCAGCTGCAGGTGACCGCTCGGCCCACACGTGAGGTCCACCGCCAGAAAAAACGAGAGGCGCAATCAACCTTCGATGCGCATGGCTGCCATCACCAAAGTCCACGACTCAGCACCCACCGACCATGAACTCACTCTAAGCGCACCCGCCGCTGCACGAGATGCCCCAAGAACGCCTCAATGTCATTGCGCTCGTGTCTGGCGGCAAGGACAGCTTCTACAGCCTGCTCCACTGCATCCACCATGGCCATCGCGTAGTCGCCCTGGCCAACCTCTACCCGGCCCGCGGCGGCGACGACGACGACGACTCGCCAGCCACAGCAGCCCGTGCCGTCGAGGTCGTCGACCCAGCTGAGCAGGTCGTCGCACCGGCGCCGCTGCAGGGCCACGGGCCCGAGGCCGAGCGGGATCTCAACAGCTTCATGTACCAGACGGTCGGACACGAGGTCATCCCCCTGTACGCCGCCGCCACGGGCGTCCCGCTGTACCGCCAGCAGATTCTCGGCACCACGCTGCGGCACGAGCGCGACTACGACTCTGCGGCGACGGCGGGCGAATCCGGGGCTGGTGGTGACGACGGCTCTCGAGACTCCGCCGCCGCCTCCACTGCCGGGCTCGACGAGACAGAGTCCATGGTGCCTCTGCTCCGGGCCGTCATGGCCCGCCATCCGGAGGCCAATGCGCTGTGCTCCGGCGCCATCCTGTCCACCTACCAGCGCACGCGGGTCGAGTCGGTCGCCCTGCGGCTCGGCCTCGTGCCGCTGTCGTACCTGTGGAAGTACCCTGTGCTACCGTCGCCGTCCCCGGCGGCCGACGAGGCTCAGCTGCTCAGGGATATGGCGGCTGCGGGACTCGAGGCGCGGATCGTCAAGGTGGCAAGTGCGGGCCTGGACGAGGACCACTTGTGGGAAAGAGTGACGAGCAGCGAGGGAGTGACTCGTGTCAAGGCCGCGCTGAAGAAATTCGGCGCCGCGGAGGGGGCGGCACTCGGCGAAGGGGGCGAGTTCGAAACCATTGTGGTCGACGGCCCGCGTGAGCTCTTCAAGAGAAGGGTCGTGGTGCCCGACAATGGGAGGAGGATTGTGCGCGAGGGTGGCGGCTCGAGCTGGCTGGCACTTCGGGGCGCACAACTTGAGAACAAACCCTCTGAAGACGACGCGAACAGGGCTGTCCAGGAACCTCTGCTCATGGATGCCAAGTTTCAACGTATGCTGGAAGATGTCACATCCCCAACGCAAGAACAAGGGACGACAATGGCATCGGACCTTGCCGGAAGGTCGACATTACTTGCCAGGTTGGGCCCTATTCGCAAACACGACTGTGGGCTCCTCCAGCGAGCATTCTTGGCGGATGCCGGTGCCGCGGACGGCTCGATACAGGGCGAGAAAAAGCTAGTTGTCGACAGGGTGAGAGAGTTCTTGGCTTCGCAGTCGCTGGATTCATCACAAATCACAAACACCATCATCATTCTTCGGAACATGGCGGATTTCCCCAAGGTAAACGGCGAGTATGGCAAGCTGTTTGTCAAGCCGAACCCTCCGTCACGCATCACGATATCCTGCGGCAGTCTGCTGCCAGAAGGACGCAGCATTGCGTTGTATCTCACTGTACCTGACGCTCGAGTGGGCCGGGGAAGGGATGGACTTCACGTCCAGTCCCGGTCCTACTGGGCTCCCGCCAATATCGGACCTTACAGCCAGGCCATTGATATACCAGTCACTTCTGAGTTTGAGTCGACGGGCATAAGAGCCGTCTACGTTGCCGGGCAGATCCCCCTTTTGCCCGCCTCCATGTCGTTGCCGTCCCCGTCGGATACATCTCTGCAACTGCAGGTCGTGCTCTCTCTTCAGCACCTCTGGAGGATTGGGCAAGAATTGAAGATCCAGTACTGGACCAGCGCAGTTGCCTACTTTGCTCGATCAACGTCTGCGGACGATATGGAGCGGAAGGCCGGTCTTGCTGGCAAGGCATGGGCACTGGCCCACGCACCTCCGGATGAGGATGAAGAGACCGAGGGCGGTCCCGACTTGTGGGATTTGAAGTTCAACCCACAATACATGTCGCTGGGTGCCGGCGAGGGACAAAGCTCCAAGACGCCTCTACCCGACTGGTCGGTGTTCACAATGCGCCAGCAGAACGAGCCGGAGACTTGCATCCCGCCCCTGTTCAGCGTGGAGATTGAGAGCCTGCCACGGGGATCTGATGTCGAGTGGCATGCGCACGTCGGACTCAAGCAGATCGAAGAGGGCAGCGCGGAGATGGTGCACGTCCCCGAAGTTGGAGCAGAGGGGTGGAGAGCCTGGCACACCATCGTTCAGACGGCGAGTGTGTATGTGATTTACACCATACTGGCCCTGGGGTCAGGACAAGTGTCGACCCTTGCCGGGGTCAGGCAAGATATGGCCAAGGCCTACGCGGGATCGCTGGCGGGTATCGGCGTGGACGCCGCAGGACTCACGACCGAGGACCCCTACCTGATGTATGCGGATCTGGAATGCGTTGCAGACGCCTGGAAAGAGATCCAGGGCTCGGCGGAAGAGGGGCAGCCTGTTGCCCTGGTGCCTTGCTACTCGATTCGCTCGATGAGGGGTGAACGGTTGAGCTGCGTGGCGCTGTTTAGAACCGTCATCGGCGCACTGACTTCATAGATGGGACGAATGCAGGTCACAGCGCGATGAAATGAACTTGAAAAGATGAAAGGATATTCCACGCTGACTGCACGTGAAATCATGGGCGGCGATGCCTTAGGTTTGCGTCTTTGACAATGGGCACAGACCGCGCGGGCGACGACGACGTCCAGTTAGACTCGGCCGCCTGGGGCGCGGCGACCCCATCGTGTCGGGTGGCGTCCAGGGTGCGCCCCTAGCGGTCAAGTCGCGCGAGCGGGCGCTACGAGCACGTCATGAGGACCTACCGGCTTCACCTCTCCACCTCCAGCCCGTGAACGGCATCGCGCGAAGCCTCGGGCCTGCAGCATCGCATCTAGATCTTGCTTGCATGGGTGGTGGGTGACGACGGGCTGCCGAACACGCAGCGACAAATCGCACGCCATGGCCGACGACGGCAGCGGCAGGGTCGCAGCCGCAGCGGCTGGCGGGCCGGACGTAGGCGGCGACAACCACGGTAACCTTGCCAGCACGAGCACCAGAACCGCCGCCGCCGTCTCCAGTGGGCCTGAACCTGGACCTGGGCCCGGACAGGGACTGCAGCAGACCCCCAGCAGGGCCGTTTCGTTTCGAAACCTCAACCATCACCGCCGGCAGTCGCAGAGCGAGCGAATCAGTGAGATCCTCGAGGTGAGACACCCAGGCGTCGCCTGCTGCAGCAGCTGCCTTGCCATCTCCCTCTTCCCCTCTCGGCGGCCGCGGCGGCAGCATCACCCTCGTCGACACGCGCGCTGACCCGTAGAGCTTGACCTATTGACACCTGGACGGCAGACCGCACGCAGCCGCGCCGAGAGCATGAGCCCCGAGCCGGGCCCGGCGGCTTCACGGCAGGCGTCGTCTCTGCAGCAGCAGCAGCAGCAGCAGGGCAACCACCAGCTCTCGGGCGATGAGGTCAGCGCCGACGAGCTGACGGGCTTCATGTCCCGCGGCTCCTCGCGCAGCTACCACGCCGTGCAGCGGACCGGGACCTCGCGGTCGCGGCGGTCCATATACGACCACCCGTCCCAACCGCAAGTCGACGAGGATGAGGAGCTTCCCGCGCGGCGCTCCACCCGGAGGAGCTCCCGGGGCTCGACCAACGGACCCTCTGACAGCAACGGGAGGTCAGGCAAGGGCGACGACAAAGAGGAGCTGACCTGGTGGAGGAAGCCGCTGGGCACGTTCCAGTCCATCGAGCTGGAGAACAAAGGCAGCGTCGCCAGAGACCATCTTGCGCTCGGTACGAGGATACCTTAGCACCCCATCGCGATGAGCCACCGAGCTGACTGTTTGTCCCAGAGCGCACGTTTCTCGCTTGGCTGCGGACGTCGCTGGCCTTTGCCTCGATCGGCATCGCCGTGACGCAGCTATTCCGGCTCAACACGTCCCTCTCGGACACGGGCAGCGACATTGGCAGCGGCACCCTGAAGCGCCTGGGCAAGCCCCTCGGCGCCACGTTCCTCGCCATCAGCATACTGACGCTGCTGCTGGGGTTCCGGCGGTACTTTCACGGCCAGGACTGGGTGATCAAGGGCAAGTTCCCCGCCAGCAGAGGCACCATCATCGTGGTCGCCTTCGTCGCGCTGGCCATCATGGTGGTGTCGCTCGTCGTGGTGATTGTAATACACCCGACGGAGGATATGGATCTTTGAACGTATCTGAGATTTTTTTTCGGTTGGGTTTTTTTAACGTCTCTGGAAAGCCTCTGATGAAGCTTTGGATGAACATATGGAGGCATGTTTGGATGAGGGTGACGGCATGTTTGGTTCATAGGATGGCGTTCGCTTGATACCACTCGGCAACTCGGCTTGTTACTGTACTTCTGCTGCTGCTAGGCGGCACCACGATTTCATGAATTGTACATGTTGATGCATCGACCGATTCCTGTTAACAAATCTGCCGGAGAAGTGGTTTGGCTGGTGGTCGCTCACACGAGGAGCTATTGCGGGGCATGATGCAAGCAAGCGCCCACTGTCATCTGGGAGCTCTTCGAGGTGGGATGGTGGGGTCTTTGCCGCCGCTTCCCATCTTGCACGTCGCCGTTCCCTACACTCAGTCACCCAGTTGACGTGCCCTTGAACGGCACTCAGCAGAACAACAATCAATTGAATTGAATCACTATGGCTCCCAAGAGCGAGCCCATAGACGTCCCCTCCTTCGCCAGCACCCAACTCGCCCTGCTCAGCCACGAGCTGCAGACTGAGATCGCAGAGACCAGCAGCCTCATCGCCTCTCACACGCCCACCGCCCTGCAGCGCGCGGGGCTGGCCCTGACCAACCTCGCCGTCGCCTCGCAGCGCACCGGCTTCGGCGGCCGGACCGTCGTCCAGCTCGCCCCGGACGCGGCCACCGGCGGAGGCGACCTCCCCGAGCATGGCATCCGCACGGGGGACATTGTGCTCGCGGCGGAGCAGCCCGCGGGCAGCGCCAAGAAGAGGGAGGTGAAGGAGCTGGAGCGCAAGGGTGTGAGAGGTGTTGTGGTTAAGGTGCAGAGGGGCGCGGTTGGCGTGGCGCTCGATGAGGGCAAGGACGATGACGCGGGGGGGTTGTCTGGCCGGGTGTGGATCGTGAAGCTGGCGGACGAGGTAACGTATCGACGGTACGCGTGACCGCCAACTGTTCTACGAAGAGGATGTTACTGACACGAGTGATTAGTATGAACCAGACGATGGAGAAGTTGGAGAAGATGCCCGAGGCCGAGTACTCCAGCTTCATCAGGGTCCTCTTTGGCCTATCCAGCCCGTCGCCCGTAGCATCGGACCTGGCCAAGCACGACGAGTTCAAAGATCTAACATGGTTCGACCCCTCGCTGAATGACTCGCAAAAAGATGCGATACGTTTTGCTCTAGCATCGAGAGAGGTGGCCCTAATCCACGGACCCCCCGGTGTAGGTGCTCCTCGGATATACCATCGTATTCATCAACTTCATACTGACACCGGGGCCGCCAGACTGGCAAGACTCACACCCTGATTGAGCTGATCCTGCAAATGGTCCAGCGCAAGCAGAGGATCCTCGTCTGCGGCCCGTCCAACATCTCAGTCGACAACATCGTCGAGCGCCTTGCGCCGCACAAGATGCCCATCGTGCGCCTCGGCCATCCTGCCCGGCTGCTGCCCTCCGTGTTGAGCCACTCGCTCGACGTCCTGACGCAGACGTCCGAAGCTGGCGCCATCGTCAAGGACGTGCGCGCGGAGATGGACGCCAAGCAGGCATCCATCAAGAAGACCAAGAGCGGAAAGGAGAGGAGGCAGATTTATGCCGACCTCAAAGAGCTGCGCAAGGAGTATCGCGAGCGGGAACGGCGGTGCGTCAGCAACCTCGTTGGCGGCAGCAAGGTCGTCCTTGCGACGCTGCACGGCGCGGGCGGGTTTCAGCTGCGCCATGAGGAGTTCGACGTGGTCATCATCGACGAGGCGAGTCAGGCCCTCGAGGCGCAGTGCTGGGTGCCCCTCCTGGCTGCCAAAAAGGCGGTTTGCGCCGGCGATCACCTCCAGCTGCCGCCGACGATCAAGTCGACCAACTCCAAGGTCAAGGTGGAACTCAAGGACGGCGGCGCCAGGCCCATAAAGGGCATGACGCTCGAGACGACGCTCTTTGATCGCCTGTTGGCCCTTCATGGGCCGGCTATCAAGAGGATGCTCACGACTCAGTACCGCATGCACGAGAGCATCATGCGGTTTCCGTCTGATGAGCTGTACGAGTCAAAGTTGCTTGCCGCGGATGCGGTCAAGGCCCGCCTCCTACATGATTTAGAATACGAGGTCGAGGATAACGAGGACACCAGCGAGCCCGTCGTCTTCATCGACACACAAGGCGGGGACTTCCCTGAGAAGAACGAGGAGGATGACAAGGATAACCCCAAGGGCGGGAGAGGCAGCTTGACGGGCGAGAGTAAGAGCAATGAGATGGAGGCGTTGCTCGTCCGGCAGCATGTGAAGCAGCTAGTCGACGCAGGAGTCCGGCCAGACGACATTGCGGTGGTGACTCCGTACAACGCACAGGTGAGTGCTTCTCGGCGCATCCTGGGTCGTGATACGGAACCTATGCTAACAGTTCACTCTCTCGCAACCAACAGCTGGCACTGCTTGCGCCGCTCAAGGAGCGCTTCCCGGGCATAGAGCTCGGCAGCGTCGACGGCTTCCAGGGCCGAGAAAAGGAGGCAGTCATTGTCAGCCTCGTGCGCAGCAATGACGACGGAGAGGTCGGCTTCCTGGGAGAAAAGAGGCGGCTGAACGGTTAGTGATCCCCGCATGATGCCATTGATTTGGCGAAAGTAGCGTTTTGGAGGGTTTCATGCTGATGGCTCTGGCCGACAAGTTGCGATGACACGCCCCAAGCGATCACTTACCGTAATAGGCGATTCGGAAACGGTAAAGAGGTAAGAAGTTGTCCTCCCTGTCTGTGTTGGGCCCATCGTCGCGGCCCACTGCCGTCCGCGACGGATCACTCCCGTGATGTTACCTCGGATAGCAGCGTCTCCGCACCTCGGTGTGGACTTGGGTTGGGACGATACGGTTCTGAGCCTCCGCTGACACGTCTCCATATAGGGGCAGCAAGTTCCTCAACAAGTGGATGGAGTTTCTGGAAGATAACGCTGATCTGCGGTACCCAGACCTGTCCAAGGTCGACCAGACGGCGTGACCTATCCGTGCGGTGACTATGACATATCCGCCGGGCAAACCCTAATTTACCGGCCGGTCGGTTGGGATGGCTGGTAGATAGAGAGGAGGCCGGATGAAGAACTTCAGGTTCTGCAAAAAGAGGAACTTGCACAGCGTGGTCCCCTGCAAATGCTGCGCGTTTCAGGTAATGACCTGAAGGTGGGACTCACGATCCCTGCTTCCAGGCACGCTTACATGCTCAACCGGCTTATTCGAAGCGGCTTGGCAAAACGTGTCGACAAGTCCGTTCTTGTACCAGAGGTTACGGACTGCATCTCGAGGTTGAGTAAGGAGCGGAGAAGACCTCGGGGACATGGAAGCTCGCCGGGCAATGGATACATCGCGAGCGCACCAAGAGTCGTGCCGCAGAATGGCGGCACTGCCGGTCAGCGTCTGCACTGTTCCCAACCACGAACATCCTCATCCATCCAGCTCCGTCGTGTGAAAAGAGTGCATCGTACCGACGACTGTCACTTACAAGTATTGACCGGCCGTGTGATCGCGGAGGGGCAGGTCGTAAGAAGTCGCATTGTGCGAGTGCCTCATGTCGTCTCTGCTGGGCCCTCTCCTCACAGAATCAAAGTCATGGTTGCATGGCCAGGGTGATGCGTCGCAGCTGCCCAGTGTGCCGGTTCGGTTCGGCGCAGTGCTAGCCACAAACCCTGGGGGCACAGGGGCCAAAGATCGATAGTCTCGAGATCTGTTGGAGAATGTGGAGGCATGGCTGCGCACGGTGCCTCAGGCTGGAGCAGTGCCTCCAGCCCCTCAAGCCCACCACACATGAGATTTCTCTCTCGGGCATGACTGATGCGTCACATAATTTGCAGACATCAAACTGATTGCGCGCCATAGTGCGTTTTGGCGCTGCGGGAACGGCCCTGTGCGACCTGGGGCACGCTGACGGTTTCGCAGGGCCAGAGGACATGGGCGAGAGTCGGCATCACGTCCCCCGAGGCATGCAGGCACTCGTTGCCTTGCAAGACGGCTCGTTGGCTCTGTGCCTGTTGGGTCGGGTTGGATTGGTGTCGAGTCGGCAAGCCGTGGCGAGCTGCGAGCCAGTCCCGCACTCCGTACTCCGTTCGTGAAGATGTAAGTGATCCAAAGCGGCAGTCAGACCGCTGGTGGGGGTCGGGCGCCTCGCGCAGGGGGTGCGGGCTTGGAGCTGAGACGAGCTCGGCGTGAGAGGCCGTGTCGAATCAGAATGGAACGCGGCAGAGGATGGGAGGCTCGCACAATGACGGAGCACCAGTCATGCGTCTCTGTCCCGTCGATGCCAACGGCATTGTCGATCACGGAGAAGTGGCAGTCATCATCTGGAATCGCGGGAGGCCCCTCGGTCCGCCGTTGGAATGTGCAATGCTGTGGGCAGAGCCTCCAAGTCGAATCGACGGGTCGAGCCACGGAGGCGCGGCATTTGCTCGGCAGCGAGAGAAGCAGTCTGCATATGCAGGCTGCGGCGTTATCAAGGCGGGCAGCGCAGAAAGCACCAATTGGGTAGCATCATCCGGCGCGAAATCGATTGCCGTCTGATGAGCGAGCCGCGAATCGACGTGGATAGGCTCACGTGGCTGGAGGACAATGCACTGGTATCCCGGTCGCGGGAGAGCGCGCCAGGGTCAGGAAATGTCTGTGTCGTGTGGTGTTTGCGCGAGGGACCTTGTACAACGCACTCCGGGGGGCAGTGACGTTTGGCCAGACGCGACGATTGTGTGCGGTGAGGGGCAGTCTCAGTCGTTGGCATGAAAACTGAGACGGACAAGACAATGCTGGCATCACGGCGCGTCGTTAGCCGTTGCCGTACTAGGTGGGGGTACTTATCGGGCTGCAGCGAGGTGATCGGAGAACGCTGAACTGTTGCTGAGACTTCACGATTCAGTTGCAGGCCGCTCAGCTCAAGTCAGAGTGTCGTTGGAGATGGGTTCCAGGATGAGGGGGCCCAGGGCATGCCACAGCCTCATCGAATCGGGCCCCTGCGGCAGGACACCTCCCCACGAGATACTGTGCTCGTACCTCACCTCGTGCGACAGGGGGAAAAGGGAAAAAAAGCAACAAGCGCAGCCCGCCGGTCCCGCCTCGCCATGCACATCATGCCATGCGGTAGACAACAAAGCGGCCCAGATATGCGACAGCGCGGCGCCAATAGAGCCCCAAACCCATCTCAGGGGCACAACATTGGACGCGCAAATGCTGGGATGTCGGGACGATGCCAGGATACCAGGCTTCGGCTAAATGCCATCCGTCCCACAGGATGGCGAGCCTGCCCGGGGCCACTCCGTGCGTCGCGACGGAAGGGTTAGCTTGGCTGCAGAGAAACAACACCCGTGCAGCCACCGGAAAGGCCGTGCCCATGGACGTTGGATGAGAGGTAGCATCACGGCGGTGGGTGGGCGCTATTGCCTGCGCTTGTCCTGCCCGCCTGTGCGTTGCTGCAGGTCGAGCGACGACCGTCAGCCACACGGACGGTCCTCAACGCGCCCAGCCATCCAGCTTGGCCAACACGGGCTCTTCCCCGCATCGACCTATTGTTAGCCATTGGAGAGGCTTGTGGTCGTCCCAAGGAACCCTGGATTGGCGGAGGGCGCCTCGCTGGTCCTGGATAACGCTTCTTGGTGGGCCAGCGGCTGTCCACACGGCCAAGGACATGGGGGATGAGGATGCACTTGCATCATGCACCCTCCTGAAATCGCCTGGACCTTGGAAGCAATGGAGCCCTTCCACGGCAGCCCACGCATCGGGCCCGTACTCCGTACAGTACGGACATACGTGCGTACTTCGTATGCACCCACGGCAGTCCAACCATGCCTCATTCATCCAACGCAGGCACCACTGCCCAGGAGTGCAGCCATGTTTCAACCCCTTCACACCTTTCCAACCCGTCTGGTTCGTCCGCCCGCTCCGCGGTGTGTGCCGGCCGGTGGTGTGCGGCGGATGCGCTGTCAGATTTGTCGGACCGTCCGTCGCCTCCCAAGCTGGGCTTGGCTGGGCTGGGCCGGATGGCCACGCGCCGTGGACACACACAAAGTACTTGTATATGATGCGTCCCAACCCGGTCGCCGTGCCCGCCGGTTCCTCGTCTCTCAGGGGCGGTGTTTTCTTGGGCCTCGAGTCCTACCACCCTATGACAATCTCCGTGTCAGCCAACTCCACGCTGTCACTCTGGTGGGGCTCGACTTACACGCTGCGGCATGACTGACAATCCAGCCAGAGAGCCTTTGACACTGCAGACAAAGGGGCAGCACAGACGCAGGACGAGCTGTTGACGGAGTGCGCCCGTTCTTTTCTTTCTCTGGGGAGCTTCCCGCCGTCCTCGTTGTCGCACGTACTTGCGAAGCCGAAGCGAGGCGGAGGCACCTGCCGCTGTTTCATACCTAGTACCTTCCTTCTTTCTTTTCCTCGCCCGTCGCTCCTGCCGTCGACGACCGGCCGCTGCTGCCGTGACTCGCTTGTCACCTTCACCGACATGTCCACGTTCTGAGGCTGCTCGATTCTGCTTTCTTGTCCCGATCTTTGTGTCTCTTTTCTTGCAAAGCAGTACGGGTTGCAACGGCACAGCCGCACGCTTCGCAATCGCAAGACTCAAGCACGCGCTGCTACACTCCTTGCAACGTATCAACGACCCCGCCCCCCTGAGCGACTCAAGAACTCGCCGCTGCCTCGCCAGAGATGCCGTGGAAAGCGACTACTGCCGCCGGGTCAAGGCCTCGTGCCGGCCACAAGTCGATCCGCGGCCAGATCTCCGCCCCGATTCGAATGCCGGACCGTGATGACGACGAGTTCCCGATGCGGGAGCCTGCACAGCCTGGCGCCTTGATGGCACTCCCTTTGGTGCCCAACACCAACAATATTGACATCTTCGCCGTCTCCAAGGAGCCGACGAATGACGGTCCTCGGCAACATGAAAACCCCACGAGTCTCCGACATGCCGAAATCGTGGAGTTGAACCACTACGGCGGCGACGTTCGTCCCGCAGGCGCCTCCAACACTCCCTCTGCTTCTGCGCACCGAGAATCTAGCGGCATATTGACGCAATCGGCGCGAGGGTCCGGTCATATGACAACGACCATTTATTCGGGATCGTCAAGGGGATCACCCCAGCGGAAGAGGTCTACATTCAAATCGGCCCTGAGCAAGATTTTTGGGCGAAAGAAGAGGAAGCATGACGACTCGGACACAGCAGCTCCATCTTCCTCACGCACCCCTGGCAAGCCATCGCACCAGCATCACCAGAGTGTAAGTCAAGTCGTGGCATGGCCGGGGCCTGTGAAGTCAAGCTCACATGAAGCACAGGATCTCACGGGCGGTAATCGCCCTCTCAAGAAGGTGCAGCCGAAACGGTCTGCTTCCCTCCCCATTACCGAATATGATCGGGCGCTGCGGTCTCATTCCATAGGCCCCGACGATGTCATGGCCATTCAAAGTGCGCGCAACTCCCTCAATACGAGCGCGAAATTGGCGGGCAACGCGTTCAGGGACGTGGACGCGGCTCCAACCCGGCCTGCTGGCCCACGCTGGACCGAGGGAAGAAAGTTTACAGGCCTCTCCCCTCGCCCGGCGAGCTCCCAGGACCGAGCCACGCGTCTGGCAGACTTTAGTGATGATCCAAACGAGATTGGCCGTGCCATTACGAGCGACGGGCGCGGTTTGAGGAGACGTTCACGGAGTTTGTCCGCATTTCCCGGGCCCGACCACCCCGCCCATAGCCATGTCAGGCGACGTAGCGACGAGATCAGGCACTGGAGGGAAAGTTATGACCCGCCCATGTTGTCTCCGACTTCCTTGATAAGTGCTGCCGAGTCCGAAGATATTGGGGTATTGACCGGCGATGAGCCCGAGACGATTGTCGAAGAGCAGCCTCGGACGCCTATTCAGCCATTCACATTCGGCGATGTCAACGCAATGAAGGACGTCGCTGGACTCAAAATCACAGAAGTGGCAAGCCTGAGCTCAAGGGTGGGAGACCTTGAGTCCCAAATGAGCCACCTGGAGCAGGCGGTGACACATTTGAGAAAGGCAAATTCTGGATTTTACGCTCACGCCGACACCTCTCGCAGTACAACCAGAGAGGTTTCTGCGGCGTCGTTGTCCTACACGGGACATACTGCTGTCCATGACAATGATCGCAAAAGTTTTACTCGCCCCTCTACACGCCACTCCGACGCCTCGAAAATGACCTTTGGCGATGGCCAGTATCCTCTCGAGGCTGCACCGACTGCAAGCCTTGCCATACCCCTCCCCAACAACAACAGGCCAACGTCCATGTCGACCATCAGAGGTACAGCCAGCATGCCATCCATGACAAAGGAGACCGTTAGCAGCATTGGCATAGATCATTATATGACGGTGATGGCTCTACTGGAGACAGAGAGGTCTGCGCGAGAAGCGCTGGAGCTCCAGGTCAAAAAGCTCAGCCACCAGCTCAATATAATGATCAGGATGCAGCGTGATGCCCGCGGCTCACAAAGCGACGCGCCCTCTGCAGACCAGTCTCTGGGAGAGATGTCGGTGTTTGAGCACGACGACGATGACGAAGACACGTACGGAAGCCACGGAGCAGGAGGAGCCCTGGGACTACGTCTGGGAGACTCTGGCTTCGCCGCTGGCATCCGCGACGACGACGAGTACACGGAATCCTTTGCAACGCCCAATGAAGACAGCAGAGACTATAACACTTTCGAGGACGAGCAAGATCTGGGCCTGAAGACAGCTGCACGGGCGCTGTCTCTCTCACGGCTGACGTTAGCAACGGCCCCGTCGGCGACGCTGAACCAGATCCCGCCACAGGCTATATGATGAGTTCCGTATGGGATGATGGGTGTCAGAAACCGACTTTTTGCACGAGACGCAGCATTCATATACCCCTCTTGCATGTATGATTATCGATTTACGGAGAAACCTTGATTTCGCAGCGTTCTAGCGCCGGATTGACATCGGACAGAGGTTTAATAAGAACATTTAAGGTCACCTTGATGCATCACGGGGGGTCAAGGATAGGAGGCCCAGCCGGGGTAGAGTCCGGACAAGGTGGGCGGACTGAGCGGCTGCAAGTGCCGTGCATTGATGCAGTCGCTGTATTGATAGCGAGTCGATGTTTTCATCCAACGCTGAGTATCAAGAAGCACACGCTGTGGCTTCGGAGTCTATCTGTATATGTCCATGTACAACTCTTGCCGCCTCACAACAACCTGCCTGCGTCACATGTGGAGGCGGGCCATCATGTGCGGAGCTTGTCGTCCTTGATGCCCCAGCTGCCCACCAGCGCCATGGACTCCTCGTCGCCGGGCGCAAGCCTGTCGTCCCGGAGCGTGTCGGAGAGGCAGCGCCAGGGATCGCGCCCGCCGCCCCACTTGAGCAGGTTCTCCTTGAGGCGCTCGCCGTTGTCGCGGCTGATGGCGGCGCCGCCGTGGCCGGCGCCAAAGACGACGCGCCAGACGCGCTCGGCGAGGACGCGGTCGAAGAGGTAGCTGTAGTAGGTGCTGCCGTAGCTGTGGAGGTGGCCGAAGAAGCCCTGCCAGCACGTCTCCGGGGGGTCGCGCGGGCCGTGGGCGTAGCGGCGGTGGATGTCGTGGAAGACGCGGGTGGAGTCGAAGTCGGGGCTGGCGACGTCAGGCGCGTGGTAGGCCTGGTCGATCATGGCGAGGAGGATCTGGTGCTCCGTGTCGATGCCCTCGAAGCGCTTCGAGACCTTGATGCGCTCGCGGACGAGGTCGAACGGCAGCGGGCGGTCCGTCTTCCAGTGGCGGGCGAAGAGGGAGAGCACCGTCGGGTCGGCGGCGAAGTGCTCCATGAGCGTCGAGGGCAGCTCGGCGAAGTCGGTCGCGCAGCGGGTGCCCGAGACGTTCTGGAAGCTGGTCCGCGCGAGGATGGAGTGGATGGCGTGGCCCATTTCGTGGAAGAGGGTCTCGACCGAGTAGTACGAGAGGAAGGCCGGCTCGCGGGCGTTGTCATTCTTCGGGAAGTCACACACCAGGGCGATGGTCGGGAGCTGCTTAAGCTGCCCGTTTCGCGACGACGTCTCCATTCCATCGTTGGCTGCCTGCTCGGCCGAGTCAAAGACGGGCATACCCGAGACCATGTCCTCGGTGGCTTCTTCGACCTCGCCTGCGAGGATCTCCCGAGAGCACCTCACCGTGAAGTGAGCCGGGTTGGGCGACTTTTGAGGCCGGTAGAAGAGATCGCAGTACAGGACGGCAAGCTGCTCCCCGTCGTCAGACACAACGTCGAGGCGCTTGACGTCTTGATGCCACGTCTCCCCGGGTAGCGTCTCCCTCGGAACGAATCTGACGCCGTATAGGCGATCAAACAGGCGGGACAAACCTTGCATAACAGTCCCCACCGAGAAGAAGGCCGTGAGCTGGTCCTCGTGGCGGACCCGGGAGCGCATCTCCGCCCTGAACTTTTCCATGTAAAAGTCCCTGTCCCATGGCTGCAGCTCGGCCTCGGGCATGGCCAGTCTCTCGCGCTTCTTATCTGTCAGCTCAAGAAGCTCCTGCTGGATCATCGGAGCGTTGTGGTTCCTCAATGCCAGCAGGAATTGCATGACCGATGCCGGCGACTTTGCCATCATGCGATCCTTGAGTGCCATGTGGCCGTGGCTTTCAAATCCAGCGAGACCAGCTAGTTCAGATCGAAGCTTGAGCATCGTCTCCAGGTTCGTAATGGTCTCACGGGAAGCCTTCCGTTGCGCCATGTATATGTCTTTGCGGGTCTCTTCGTCATACACACTCTGGAGCGCCGCGGCCGCCTCTGAGCCGGTCGTGGCGATGGAGATCTGTGACCGAACCTTGAGGGTCGCCGCCAGGCCCGGATACAGGCCGTAGAAACGGTGTGAGGGGAGAGTAACCTGCTTCTTCTCCGGCTCCATGTTCTGGATAAAGGCCGACCCGACATCACTGATGCGGGATGAGAGATCAACGAAGCGGTCGCGCGCCTTCTTGGGCAGGTTGACGGCCGACTTCATGAAGTCGAGCTTTAGCAGCTCGGCAACGGTCTTTTCCTCCTCGGACCACGCCGATGTGACCTCTGGGCGCGATAAAGCCTCACCGAGCTGGTCGTTGAGGCCGGTCATGGTGTTGAGCTGGTTCATGTATTGGTATACCATGGACCAGGCGCCGGCAGCGGCCTGCTGGAAGCGCGAGTCGGGGTGCGTCATGCGCACAAAGTCGGAGAGGTCGAGCACGCGACATAGCAGGTCGCTGAGGCGGTCGAGGTCCCTGACGATGGCCTGGTATTCTTGTGTGGTGGACGCGCCGAGGACGCGGTGAACGATCTTTGTAGCCTTTTCCAGATTCCGCTGCGCAAAGAGGAGGAACCCGTCGGGGCTGGTCAAGTATCGGTTCTTGAAGAGGCCCTGGCTCTTCTTGAGACTGAAGCCTGCAAAGGTGCGCGTCGAGGGGGCATCGAAGAGGTCGCGCAGGACGGTATCATCGTGGCGACCGCTGGCGCTGCTGTCGACGAGAGGCGACGGCGCTCTCCTCTGCTCTGCGGCAGCGGCGCCGGCGGCCGTGGATTCGCATCGTCGCTGTTGACGGGCCGGCTTGGTCACGCGACGGACGCATCTGGTGCAGACCCAGATGCGTCGAGCGCCGGAATTGAGCATTGCTGAAGCGCCGGCGCGGCCGAGGACATGTGAGGAAGGTGTCGTATGCGAGCGGGCTTGGAGCGAAGTGTCGAGTGTCGCGGCGATGAAGCAGACGGCGGGACGAAGGGTTTGAGGAACGGGGGAGACGGTCGACCTGCCAATGACGTACGAGGTGAAGGGGGAAACGGGGGGGTTATAAGCGGCGCATAATAAGTGCAGTACTAGCAGGACGACGGTTCGGCGGATGGGGATCGCAGAGTCGGAGTTTTGCGGCGTCCAAGACCTGAACCCCCTGCCAGCGCCTTCGGCTACGCGCTCAACAGGGCAATGGCGGGCGGCGTTGGGGTTGCAGGGCTCCACCACCCAGTTCTTGGGCCGAGCCGTCACGGCAGGCGGGATCCTCCGCCTGCCGTTCGGCCGGCCTGTCGCTGGAAGCTGCCACAGGGGGCGGGCGGCCGGGCGGCTTGTGATTTTGCGCTGGTGATGCAGCGCGTGGGCACGAGTTTGCTTCTGTGCTCGCCGCGGACCCTTTTCCCACAGGCCAGGCCTCTCCATCATGTGTTGTAATCTATCGCTTGGCAGTCCAATGGCGGGGGTGCCGCAGCGTGGACTCTATGTCTGTGCACCGTTTCTGCATGTCCCAGTGATGCGCTGCAGCCGGCGTGGTGCAAGTTTTTTGGTTCTGCACATGGGCGGGATTTGTCTGACCCGACGCGGCAACAATAGTAGCCCAGCTGTACGAAGTAGGCAGTGACTAGGACGCATAGACTGCACGCGGCCCAGAGGCACCTGTTCCGAACATGGCCCAACGCAGCAACGGTCAGTCCCTTGCTCTGCTCTACGAAGGTGCGGGATACCGGCCTGCTCGTAGGCGCTGTAATAGGTGTACTGTAATAGACGGGAGGCAGCCTGTGTTGTTAGTGTACAGGCCCGCCGCTCCGACAGTGACGTCGCTTCCCCCCAAGTACCAGATCCGCCCGCCCACCCATCCCAGTCACGTGCGCCCGGCCCGTCCGTCGGAGCAATCAGGAACGGGCCTGTGGCTGGCCGCGCGAGTTTGAAGCTGCCGGGCCCGACGACAACCTCCATTCCCGCGCCCACGACGACTCGCCAATTGAGTGCACAATGGCTGCAAGAGTGCTGCTGCAACGGGTACGCTGCGCCTTCCGTCTTCGCCACCCGGTTTCGCATCCTGTACTGAGGCTAATTGGACTCCCCAGCGCTCCCTGGCGCCGTTGGCGACCCTCGCCCTCGGTGGAATGGCTCTCGTGCCCGCCACTGTCCTCGCTGAGGCTCCCGCCGATAAGGTGCGCTCTCTGCTGCTGCCGCTCCGGATGCTTGCGCCGGGAGAGCATGCTCTAACTGTTTGGCAGAGGAAACCCATCTACGACGACGTCGACGTCCCGTCCGCCGAATCCGCGCCCGCGACGCCGGCAAAGTCCCTACTTCCCTCGCTGCAACTCGCCGCTCCTTCCGACGATAGCGAGCCCGTGGCCCCTAAGCACCGCGGCCCTTCGCCCACCGACCGGCTAGCCGTTCAGGTCGGCAGGGCTCGTCTCTTCCTGTACAAGTTCGCCGTCGCCGCCGAGGACAAGGTCAACGAGACGATGGACTCGGCCTTCCACCTCGAGCAGTCCTTCACCAGCTCCATTGCCGCGCTGGCCCCGCCCCGTGAGAGCGGCGAGAAGCTCATGCCCGGCGCCATCTACGTGCTCGTCGCCGCCATGGCGGGTAGCATCATCACGCGCAACCGCAACATCCTCTTGCGCGCCACCATGCCCCTTGCCCTCGGCATCGGCGCCGGGTGGACCGTCCTTCCCGTCACCATGAGGAACGTGTCCGACCTGGCCTGGAAGTACGAGCAGCGCTTCCCGGCCGTCGCCGAGTCGCACATCAAGTTGCGTGAGGGCATCCAGAAGGGTGTGAGCTTCGCCAAGGTTCACAAGGATGTCGGTGTACGATACGTGGATGAGAAGGTAACTGACGCCCGAGAGGCTGTTGAGGGTTGGGTCAAGCAGGGCAAATAGAGTGTTGCTCGGAAGGAAACAAAAGCGATTGTACAATTAAATAGAAGTCGTGGAACAACATTTTCTTTTGTTGGCAGAGCATAGCAGTACGCCTGCGAGACCAGACATTCGACGGCCTCTCTCATGTGCGCCTTGATATATACCGGTGATGCGTCCTTGCATCAGTGCCATCCTGAATTTCAACGCTAGCCCATGCTTTCGACCCTTTATACATCTCATGTTGTCATGTCAAATTCCAACGCTCGCCTCACATGCTCCCTCATATCTTGCCAACTCCTTTGATGCAACGGCCAGGCCATTCTAGCAGCCCAAGCCATAAAGTTGATGATGCCATTTATGCCGCCACCGCAGCCGGCTCAGGTTCCAGTGCAGACTGCGTAGTGGCTCCTCGCTCAGACAGCGCCTTGCGATGCTGCGAGTTCTCCCTCGCCTGGCCCATCTGACCACCAGCGGCAAGGGCGCTGGGGTTGTTCTTCTTCTTCTTCTTGGAGGTCTTTTCTTTGGGACGATCCAAGCCCCGCTTCGCATCCGCCTCCTTGGCTTGTTCGAGGAGGTGCTCCAACTCCAGGTTCTTGCACATGTCTGTGTAGCTTTTGCCTTGGTTGACGGGCTGGTAGAATCGCTCCTTGCCAGGCACCATCTGCGCGAGCAAATACTTTGTGTTGCCAAATCGGTTGTCCACCTCCATGCACGTCTTGAGGTACTCCTCAACCACAGGCTGCCAAGGCAGGACGCCACCGTCCGCCTCACTCCTGAAGCAGCTAGGATTCTTCTCAGCCGCTGTCGCGATCATGGCACCATCAGCGCCAAACTCCTCAGCCAGCCTGAGCCCCTGGTCTCTGGTCTCCACGTCGCCGTTCATGAGACACGCAACGCCGTGTTCGTGGCAGACCCCGGCGACCATGCGCAGCTGTCCACGGATGGCTCGCTCTCGCGGCCGCATGGGCGTCGTGCGGCAGTGCACCGTCAGGGCAGTGATACCCGTGGCGCACAATCTGCGAACCAGAGCCTCTGTCTCGGCGGCCGTCTCCAAGATCCGGATCTTGACGCTGATTCCGATCTCAAACTCGGGCGTGATGTTCTTCACCAAAGCCTCGAGAATGGCGCATAGCTTATCTGGTGTCCGCAAAAGCGCTGCCCCCATGCCGCCGCTGGTGCTGAATGGCTTCGGGCAGCCGGCGTTTACGTCTATCCCGGCAACGTCTCCTGCCACGAGGCGAGCGGCTTCCACGGCTCGCTCTGGGTCGGCGGTGCCGATCTGAAAAATGAGCCGTCCCGCCTCCCGCTCGGGGTGGACCCGGTAGATGATGCTCTCTTTCGCGTCGGCCGGAGGCTCTTTCTGGCCTTGCGATGCGACGCGGTACCAGTCGACCGTCTTTGAGTCTTCGTTGAAGCGCCTCGTCGTCCCAATCATGGCACGGTCGATCGTTTCTGGCCCTGAAGCAACTCTGTCAGTACCTTCTCAAGAACGAACAAACAACAACGTCTTTTTACCCCAGACGAGATCAGCGCCATAGTGGAGAGCCAGCAGGCGGGAAGGCAGTTCTCCGGAGCGCACCATGGGCGCGAGGACAACCTTGCCTCGATAGTCGACGCCCCGGCGGGGGATGGGAACTCGCTTGACTTCGGCAGCCATGGTTCGTCGTAGTAGAGTAGATAGCATGCCGCAGCGGGCTGAATCTACATGACGGGGTCAAGAGTTGTAGAGCGAAGAGACGTGCACCGGGTCGCAAACCAGTCACCAAATTAATTCGGTCGCATCGCGGCGTTGGCGGTTATCTAATCACACCCTATCGATAAAAATTTGGCATTCGAGGTGGGGCTTCAGTGCCACAAGACCTGCGGACGGCGGCGCTCGGCGCTGTGGGGCTCGCTGGCCCGCGACCTCGAGGCCTGGGCTGCCGTGAGAGCGCCGCCGGCGGGAGGACACCACACCACCTGGGCAGTCTCAGACGCCGTTGGCCGCGCTGAGGGCGGCATGACTCTCACCTCAGGTAGCACTCTGGCTTGGCGGTCGGGTAGGATCCATTTGACACACGCTTCGAAACTCCAATGAAGGTGTTGATACTGCGCGCGGGTTGCCGTGGGAGCGACCAGCCGTCGCACAAGCTGCATCGATTCGACAATGGGCGTCCACATTGTGCATCTTCAGCAACATGGCCTTTCGTCGGCGGACTGACGTCATACGGCGCTGGTCGTCATTAAAGGCGTTCCTGGGTCGCGCGCTGGGCCCGAGGGCCGCTACCGGGCCTTTCGAGGCTGTACCGAAAATCACAAAGCGCGGGCAGGGAGCGGCATCAGGGTCAAGTCGGCGCGGTGCTAGGGCGGGAGAAATGCCAATCGCTCAGGGGAAGGCATTGAATCGCCAGGAAAATCATTTCCCTGCCCTGCGCAGATCAGTGAAGGCGCTGAGGCGGGTGGGAAATCGAGGGGCTCTGCTGGAGCTCCGGGTGGAGCGACGTCCACTGTGTGCCAGACGGGACCAGAGCCCTTGAATAATAAGGGGCGTCGTGGGCCCACTGACGTTACCCAAGGGAAGGGCATGGCGGCCGGCGGGCTCTGTGCTCCCGGCTGCCCGATCGTACAGGCATCGGGGAAACATTGAAACAAACGCGGTTGTGGGTTGCATGGTTGTGATTTGAGGTTTGGCTGTGTCCAGGCCCGGCAGGGTTGCGTCCGATTCGCTCTTGGGCGCTGACGTTGGGTGCTCATCAACTCGTCTCAAGCTTGTCGATGAGACTACCTTCCATTCGCACTCGAAACTGCATGTGCCAGATGGAGCCGGCAGAGGCAAGTCTGTCGCTGAGCAAGGCCGTCCAGCAGGCGAAATCCTCCACGTTATGCCATGCCTGTGTAACAAGCACATACAGCAGGGCACCCGGTTGGCAAGGCGAAGTCAAAACAGCCACCTTCGGTAGTGCGACCTAAACACCCGATCGGCCCAGACAATGTGAGCCCTTTGTTCGATACTGAATGTGCCGCGATTCGACAATAGGCAAGCCACAGTCCTCACCCACCAAACCTTGCATGACGCAAGCAAGTACTGTACAGGACAGCGCCCAGCGAATACTGTACAGTACATGCCAGAGTGCGCGTTTCCATGGCACGGCGACGGGGCACTGTACTGTACTTCGTACGGAGTACAGCCACGCCTATTTTCAGAGCACAGGTCGCGTGTGGTCCACGCGCCCGAGGGTCCGTCCGCACTCGTACGACAGGCATTGCGGAACAGAAGGTTTCGCGGGCCGAGGCCGACATGGTCTTCACATCGGGCTGACGTTTACACAGATTCCTCCCTTTCAATGTCGCGAACCGACAGCGCCTGGGTGAGACGCCGGCGCCGAGCCGCCCAGATGACGGGCGCCAGCGGCGCCAGCAGGGGCAGGCCGGCGGTTGCATTCCATCCCATCATGCGCATGTACTCGTACTCGTGCTCCATACTGATAGTCCGCAAGGATCTCTCGCGCGATGGGTTGCGAGAGAAATTGAGGTAAAGCACGATGGCACGGTCCTGTACGCAAGAGTCGGTAATGCCGTTCTAGGATAGCTCTGTATAGTAAGAAATATAGATATAGTACATGATGTGCAGACTTGTTTCTCATACCGTCAGGTACAGTGCGCAACTTGCTCGTGGTCAACTGCCCCAGTGACTGGACATGTGCAAGCCAACACACTGGAGCCCAAGCCATCAAAGGAGTCCACGCTACGGCCGTATCTCAGGGTGGCGGGCTGCGGGCCCATGTAATGCGAAGCTGTAGCGCCAGCCCCATGCCCGGCCGCACCTCGTGCTGGCTGGCACCCGCCCACCAGACGTCGCTGTCGGTGGGGTCGCGGCCCTGGCTTGTGGCGGCCTCTGGCGGCTGGGATGGAGGAAAGAGGGGTCTCAGGGGTCGCCTCCACCCCAAACCCGCGCCTGAGCTCCGGTATCCATTATCCATATCTCGTACCGGGTAAGGTACTGTACTTGTACATCGTCCGGTCGTGACTGGTGCGTGGCTCGTCCCGCCTCCATTCTCAACCCATCCTCCACTGTCGGCGGCGTCGCCAGAGCCGACACAAGGTCCTGAAACCCCCCTGGCACGTCCTGCCCTGGCGACGGCGATCCGCCTGCGTTCCTCTCTGTGCTCCCTCGGCTGTTGTCCATTGTTCACTTCACATCCCAAAGCGACGACTTCGCGCCGACTCGAGTCCCGACTCGTCGTTAGCTGCATCGCTGCATCGACCTTTACGCCCCCCCCGCCGCCAGCTGGTCTTAGGGCCGGGTCCAGCGACCACGACTGTCTCCCCCACATCTGGGCTGTGCTCGTGGCCTCGACCTGACAGTTGACTGCGACTGCCGCATAGCAGGGCCAAACTCTCAACTATCGCACGACAAGCACAAAGCGATACCACCACGAGCGACTGGCTGGAGTGGCGGCGTCTCCTCCGGTCCTCTCTCTTCTCCTACCTCAAGCTGCGGGGCGGCAACCACACCTGAAGCAAGGCCCATGACGCAGCTGCTTGGCCGTCGACATGGATAACGAGCCCCCCTACGCAGGAGATGAGGGACGGTCGTCGAGGCGAGGCCGCCTTATGGGCAAACTGTTTGGAGGCAAGGACAAGAAGTCATCCGACACTTCGTCGCAGGCCGCTCTCGACGCTTTCCTCCACAGCTCCGCCGACAAGCTCGACATTACGCATGCGCCCCCTCCCCCGCCGCCCTCATCCCTGCCCAAGCTCGCCAAACTCGACACCACGATATCACGATATCCGCAAGCCCTCGCTGTGAACCAGCAGGCGCAGATGAACCGGCCCGTGGCCCCAGGAAAGTACGACTTGTCGAACTCGCCAAAGAAGAGCCCGCGGCCGAACAAAAAGGGCCTGATCGTGCGGTTCGCGGACACCTATCCAGAGGTCATAGGAGAGGGCGGCGACGAGTCTGAGGTGCCCGTCATGGAAATAGGTAAAAACAGAAGAGCGAAGCCGCCGCCGCCCCCCTCGCATCGCAACCCACTGGGGCCCTCGACCCGACCGCCGCCCTCCGCTAAACCGCCCCCTACAAACTTCAACGATGGCTTCGTACCAAAGCCGCTGTCACGGACGCAAACCGGATACTCCTCCATCTATGAACCAGAAAACGACGCCGAGAAACCCCCTTCCCCGGTCAAGCAGCCCCAGAACAACGCCAAGATGCTTGTCCCTGGCAGGGCAGCATCTGCAAGGTATCTTGGCACATCAGACAGGCGGGATGAGAACCGGAGATCATTCATCGAAATTCACCAAGCACAGATGCGCGAGGCAGAAGGGAAAGCCTTTGCGCAGGCTGCCCGGACAGCCAGCGTAGCATCCCAGCACAACTGGGAGGAAAGCGACAGACCGCCCACTGGTCCCATCACGAATTCACCCGAGTCAATGCGGCGCTATTCTTCGTCGCCCGAAGCGCACATGAAGCGAGCGCCTGCGCCTGGCGAGTACAGCCCAGCTGGCTCGATTGGTTCGAACACCTCCAGCGCGTATCCCACGTCGAACCCGTCGCAGACCAATGTCACGGCGCCACCTACCACCGCCCCAGCATATAGCGAAGGCCCTCCGCCCTCTGGTCCTCCACTGGCGGCTCGAATGGCGTCAGTTAGGTTGAATGATGCGGTCGGGAGCGACGAGGCTCTGGCAGCATTCGTGGCACGGACGAGACACCTATTCGAGTTGTTCCGACTGCACGCCGAGGCCTCAAAGCCATTGTCGAGTAGCTCGCCCAGAGACTGTGCACGCGCCGGCCTGTGGTGGTTCCTCAAGGGCAGAATGGGCCTGGAACTCGCCATTCGAGATCGCCCGACGTCCCCACAGTCGCAGATGCAGAACGAGCTGGACCGACAACAAGCGTACACTAACCTGGCAAAGGGATACTGGGCTTGCGAGGAGGCGATTCCGGAGGTCTCCCAAGCCCAGCGGCTGCGCGCGGATCCTGAGGTTGAGACAGTCATACAGAGCCTGATAACGGCGCTGAAAAAGCTGTCACAGTCCATGAAACGAAACGGGATTCTGCCGCCTGAGGAGCCCTTCCTGCCCCAAACCATCGATAAGTCAATCTGGGTCGACTACCCGCCTCTGAGCCAGGACATGGTGGCACTGCTCTCGGGCAACTGGGGCTCCGGCCTGACGGCGATGCAGCATCCCATGTCTACCGTCGAACTCATGGATGCGTTTCCAATCGGCGATAGCACGGAGAACTTCAGCTACGGGCGCGTCATGGCCGATGTGTTTCTTATGGAACAAGGACGCGAGGCGCAGAGAATATACCTGCCCTGCATACTTTCCGTGGTCCGGCCACAGAGGCAAAAGGGCCTCATCTTCATGATTGCAAGTCAAAATGGCAGCATCCAGCTGGCGGTGCAGGACAACAAGAACGCAGGGCCTGTATGGGACGATGTACGTTGGCGCAGTGACACCTGCTCCTTCAGCATCAGGCTGCCGCGAGGTTTCATGCTGGCCGTGCAGTTGACGCAAACGGACTACAAGACCGTCTCGTCCATGTACGAGTTCGGCTCCAAGATTCAGGCCACCATGAACGCTCGCAACGACGAGCTGCTTGTCTTCCGCAACACCCTACGCTCGTTCCAGTACATGGAATCGGAGCCGGCGTCTAGGGCGTTTCCTAAGGAGCCGGTACCTCAATGCGAAGTTGCCTTGTTCGAGAGGATATATCGGGAGAATGGCCCGGCAGGACCACGCAACTGGCACTGCGGCTTCCGAATCGCCGTCATCACAGGTCCGAGGACAAGGACGGTGAATGGAGTGCACCATAGCTTCCCGCCGTCTCTTCCCGTGCAGTTTGGATTCTTCCGCGCCGAAGGAGATGCGCCAGCGCTCTCGGTCAAGTATGAGAGTGGGAGGCAGAGAGGCCGCATGGTGATGACCTTTAGCGACGAAAAGGAGCGCGTCAAGTTCCACTCGCTCTTGACCGGAACGGCGCTGAACCACGACGAGAGAATATTTGCAGATGTCCCAATCAAGTCTTTCATCATTTCGCAGAGCATCAAAGAGCCGCTGGGCGTCTCGCCATTCTCACGGATGCCCTGGAAAGTTGCAAGAGTCGTCAACGACGAGTTCACGCCGACTGGCGGAGACCAGCCGCCGACAGTGCTGGCCGACAAGCTCAAAGTTGTGCTGGAGTACCAAAACGGAACGGTGACCGACAGGGTCAACGTGGCACCGGGGGAGCTGAGAATGCGGCTGGAGGTGTCCAACGCCAAGGTGCTACGGATCCTGCGTCAGCCGCAGCAGGATATCACAATGTCTGTGTCTGAGGCCCAGGTGTCGAAGGAACTCCCGAGAAATATTGCCGACGCGCTGCAGCTTCTCAAGGCCAACCAGACAATCCGGAGCTACGAATTCAACAACCTCAAGGACCTTCACGACTTCCAAGCGGCCTTGACCGGGTTTGAGGTCATTTTCGATGCGCTGGCTGTGACATTCGGCATCACCCGGCGGCGCATGGTGGTGCCGATCCACAAGAAGTGGGAGGCGGGATATACCAGGATCCAGGTGGTGAGGCTGGAGGACCGGCAGCTGCAGCTGCTCGCGTTCTTCGAGGACTTCCAGCATGGCCATTGTATGAACTTTGTCCTCAAGGGCACAGACGTCTACGAAAGCCTCCACAGGGGAAGTAAGTCGGGCATCAGGTTCGTGGATGCCAAATTTCCGCTCCCTCGACTGCCGGCCGACAAGGACGGCGACTTTGACGATATGGCATTTGTGTGCCTCGACCTCCCTGACCTCCCGGGCGAGCACGACGATATAACCCTCATGTTTGAGAAGGAGGCTGGTAAGTAGCTTGCCATGAGATGCGAGAGCGGCTCGAGACGATGCTAACGATGGGACAGATCGAGACCGCCTCATCGAGTGCTTGCCCGCGCCCGTGAAAGGGTCGTCTAGAATCTCGTCACGATTGAAATGAACGAACGACATGAGATACCTCGGGGAGACATAAGTCACAGAGAGAACGCTGGGGCGCGATTGAAGCTACCGGAGACGGCTGTCGGACGGCGATTTTTAGGGCCGCGGAGGAGCAGGGGATGGGGATTGCGCCTTGCCGCCCCCTGCCTGCCTGCGTGTGCCCGGTTGCCCGTCTGGGAGAGGGCACGCGACCACACGGGCCGAAGGGAGGATGCCTTGTGCCTGAGATCGTGTTGATAGCATGGGGCCATGAAACCAATCAACGATGGGGCGAATTGGCCAGCAAGGCGTTTGAGCGGCATTTGAATAATCGAAATGGACATTGCTACGATAGGTGGCCAATGGCACCGGACACTGGGCGACTGTCGTATTCTGCGTGACCCCTTGACGCTTGCGTGAGCCGGGAATTGCCGTGCGTCGCCCCTGACGATTGCCGCCGCCCATCCGCGGTTTTTACACAAACGAATCGCAAACAGCTTCCATTCCCGCAGGCCGTTGGCTGTTTGCTCGCATTTGTTGGGGGACTGGGGGGGTTGATCCAACCTGCACCGAGTACGAAGCGTTTAGTGCGCGCCCCTCGTATTATTGCCCGAGCCGGCCAGTGTGAATCGCTGCAGGGTGTCGTGCATGGGTTCATCGCCCGCGTGAGACATGACCACGCCAGGGGGGGAAGAAGGGTGGGCGGCTTGGTGAAGACTGGCGTTGGCTTGGAAGGAACAACATGGTCTGAGCAATTTGGCTTGTGATGGTCATTTAACGATACGCCAGGCGGGTTGTGCGAAGCGCAAACAGCGCCGTGGCTTTTTTTTTTCTGCAGCAGGCCAGGGGATGTGGTGAGCTGCCACACGACCTGGAGGGGGATGGATGGGGTCTGACATGAGCTGGATGGAGCCGTAGTGAGATGGAGGCTTGATGGAATCCGGACCCCCCAGGAACCCCAGCTTGTTGTTCACGCGCAGTGTCTGGTGAAAACATCAAATTGGTTCCTGCTTGGTGGAATGCAGGAGGGATTGCTCCGTAGAAACGGGCGCTTGTCGCGGCAGTGCCTTTGCCCCTGGGAGACAAAGGCCCTCGGATGGCCGGTTGAAGGCGGGCGGGATTGACGCAGACAAAGTCCTGGTGCGGTCCCCGTTTTGTGCGAGGACCGGACGTGGAGATGCACGGGATCGAGCTCCTCGGAGCTCCCTCTCTCAGCAGTAGTACAAAGTACGGATGGACGGGACAGCTGGAGACATGAACGGGCGGTGGAGGCGGGGCCCGGGCCTGGGCCTTGCAGTCGGGTCCAATGTTTGACGGCGCCGCTGCAGCTCTTCAGTGGGGTTCCATGCGTCAACGTCATCGTCCAGCTGCCCGGGGGGCGTCGCTCGGCTCTGAGCGGCCCCGCCACTTCCCCTCCTGCCACCTATGCAGTTCCCTCAGGGCTCGTCGGGCGCGCAGGAGGTGACCTGTGGAGGCACCGACGATGGAGCTGGATCTGGAGCCCTGGAGCAAGCTCCGCTGATGTCGGGCGCCTCGCAGTTCCCGGTCGCCGGTGCAGCAGACGCCGCCGCCGCCACCCACCATGCCTCCCTTGGGCCACCCACCACCTCCCACCACCACCAGTGCACCACCACCTTCATCGCCATCGTCCATCCCAGGGGGGGTTAGAGGGGTGCCGACCGCCGCACTTACACACACATTGATGGCTGCTGCCCTCCGCAAGGTCATCCGTAATGGGTACCTGTAGCCTGGCCTGGCCGCATGAGTTACCCCCTTGCCCCGAGTTCGACGTGCGTGCGAGTGTGTGCGTCTGCCGGCTTGGCTTTTGTGCTTGTGCTTGCGATCTATCCCACCTGGGCCTAGCACGACAGGATCCATGGCGACCTGTCCTTTGGGTGGTGGTTCCATTGTCCGTTGCAAATAGTAGGGCGTGGCAACCTCAGGACGGGCAAGGCGGGCACTTCCCTGGCTGGCCGGCCGATGTACGTGTATGCGCATCGTGGCATCCTGAGCTAAGGCAAGGCGAGGGAAGCCAAGTCCGACAGGTGCAGAAAGATGGGGGTTTGGCATCAGGTGTCAAGCCAGCCTGGCGGGGGATTGCCTGTCGATGGCCGAGGGCGCGACCACCGGCAAGGTAAGGTACTGGTGAACCAAACGCAGCGCCGTGTGCCGGGGCGTGTGTCCTCTACAGGTGAAGGAAGGCAGTCGTCGAGTCGTCTCTGCTCGGGCTCCTTTAGGCACCGACTACCGCCGCAGAGTAGGTGGAGGGCGCGCTCGCGGGGACAGTAAGAACAGCGAGGAGGGGCAACGCCGGGCCTGTCTCTTATACACATCTAGATGTGTATAAGAGACAGGACTTTCGCCACGTCGAGGTATATGCCGCCCGCGAGACCTGCTGCTGCTGCTGGTGGCACCTGGCAAGCCGCTGCCTCGCAGCTTTCCTCGATTTCTTCTTCTTTCTTCCGCAACCATTACCGTAGACTTGGCAGCAGCGGAGTCCCCCTTTTCTGTACCTTTCATCTCTCGCTGGCAGTACCCTGCGGGTCGGTTGTCTGGATATCCCCGGCGGTCGTCGCGTCTCGTCGAGGCGAAACGAAATCAAGGTTCGCGCGGAGCTCCCACGAAAAGCATACACCCCAAGCAACAGGAGCACACCAGAGCAGAGCAGAGAGCACAGCACCCGCATCAGCACCAGCAATTCAGCATCAGCAACCGGCGCAAGACGAGCCCCGCACTCCCGGAACCCCTGTCTCTTATACACATCTAGATGTGTATAAGAGACAGCACCAGAGCAGAGCAGAGAGCACAGCACCCGCATCAGCACCAGCAATTCAGCATCAGCAACCGGCGCAAGACGAGCCCCGCACTCCCGGAACCCAGACCCGTCAAAAAGTCCAGCCTCCGCGTCTGCAGGGGACCACCAGACGACGCCCGGCCCGACAGGGAGACGGGCAAGGGATCGAGAGGAAGAGCTCAGAGGCAGCGGGACGGGAGCAGAAAAAAAAATATTAATTACATTATCTCATTGAGGCAAGGTCGGAACCTCGCCGTCCGCCCTCGGCCTGCGGCAACAAAAGGTACCTTGCCCGCTCCTCAACAAAATCGGCGGAGCAAGCTTCCAGTTGGTAGATGCTCTCTGTCTTCCTTCTTGCTCGATCCCGTCCTCCTTTTGCCGTCTCTTTCTGTTGCCGTCCGACCTGGACCTCACCTGAATACCTACCTGCCGTATCCTCGTCACTGACGGAGCACGACAGCACAGGCCGAGACACGGGTCGCCGTCTCTGCGCGGACCGTCCAAGACAAAACCTACCGTACCTACCTACCTAGCATCAACGAGCTGCTAATCTACCTGCCTCGCCTTTACTTCGTACCGAGTACCAAAAACGCATCTGCCTGCCTGCCTGCCTGGAGCGACACACACGCACACGCGCGTCCCAGCCTACCGACCTTTACCTCACTTGACCTCCACTGGCCCTAGCCTGAGAGAGCGCCTGGGCTGCCCCCCTCGTCATGGTCCTCAGCGGTCTGGTCTCGGTGCCCGGCCGGCGCAGGGCGTCCACTGCGGGTGAGTGAGCCTTCTCTACCTGCCTAGGGAGCAGCTCCAGCGCTTCCGTCATCCTCCATTCCTCCACTCCCAGTCTCCCACCACGGGGCGCCGCCTCAATTCCCACCTCAAACCCCCACCACGCAGCGAGTGCCTCCGCCGCCGCCGTCATCGCCCACCTACCTCTCCAACTGCCTCTGACCTCGTCTTCACCCCCCCAACATCCGCCACCTCGCAGCTTTCGACGGCCCTGCCTGCTCTGAAGCTCTGCGCGAGACGCACAACCTCTTGCGACGCATCTGCGCTTCCAGAGATATGCGCGTCGTGGCCTCCGACACCTCCGTCGACTGCACTTGAACCCATCCTCTTTTTTCCCTTTGCCGCCTTTCTCTCTTCTTCGCCCCAGCCCCGCAACGACCGCCCGCCCGCTGTTATAGAAGCTTGTTAATATTCTAGAAAAAAAGGCAACAAAATGTTGACCAACTGGTTCTCGCAACCTGCAGGCAGCGCTCGCTCCTCGACAGAAGAGGCCAGAGTCGGCGACAATGACGAAGACACACAGGTCGTGGAGCCTGACCAGGGCAATGGTGAGCCCGTCCTCCTCCTCGCACGGCCAGCGCGACTCCCGCGCCGCGCACGGCTGCCCCCGGCCGAGCCGCGGGGTGCCGCAGCTTGCAGAGCTCCTGTATACTGACAATCCGCCCGCCGACCAGTCCTCTCACACATCATCTCCCAGCTTCGGCCTGGGGCTGACCTCAGTCGGGTCGTCCTGCCTACCTTCATCCTTGAGCCTCGGAGCATGCTAGAGAGGATAACAAAGTGCGTCGCAAACACACCTCTGCGCGCCGTCATTTCCACGCTGACCCCGCCTCTCGCAGCTTCATGTGCCACCCAGAAATGCTCCTTCACATCCCCACGATGGACGACCCGACCGAGCGCTTCGTCTCCGTCGTCAAGTTCTACCTCAGTGGCTGGCACATTCGCCCTCCGTAGGTTCCCGACAGCCGATGCTCATCCTTGCGCCCGTCGAGAGGATAGGACCAGCTAACCAATTCGCAGTGGTGTAAAGAAGCCGCTCAACCCTATCCTCGGCGAGATATTCACCTGCTACTGGGACCTCGACGACAAGACTCGAGCATACTACATCTCCGAACAGACCTCCCACCACCCGCCCAAGTCGAGCTACTTCTACATGGCCCCGGAACATCACATTCGCATCGATGGCACCCTGAAGCCCCGAAGCCGGTTCCTTGGCAATTCTGCGGCGAGTCTCATGGAGGGGATTGCCTTCCTGAACTTGCTGAACAGGGGCAAGGACCCCGCAAAGGGAGAGCGATAGTTCGTGGCCGCCACTTTACGTTCGCAACAAGAGAAGAATGCTAACTGGAGATGGCAGCATCTTGACGCAACCAAACATGTACGCGCGCGGCATCCTGTTCGGCAAAATGAAGTATGAGCTTGGAGACCACAGCTTTGTGCGATGTCCGGAGCTTGACCTGACGGCCGATGTCGACTTCAAGACGAAGGGCTGGGTCGGCGGGACGTACAACGCCATCGGGGGTGCCATCAAGCGAGAGAGCACCGGCGAGGTTCTCTATGAGCTGTCGGGCTTGTGGAGTGAAGAAATGTTCATCAAAGATGTGGCGGTGTGTGCTATCGACTCTGTTCGTGCCAACGAGTACTGACGCCTGTCTAGACTGGTCACAAGGAGATGTTCTTCAACGCCACGAAAGCAAAGCCGAGCGCCCCGCAAGTCCGCCCCATTCCCGAGCAAGACGAGCGCGAGTCGCAGAGGCTGTGGGAGAAGACCGCCAAAGCCGTCAAGGAGCGCAACCACGAGGTCGCGACCGACGAGAAGACCAAGATCGAGGACCGCCAACGCGAGGAGGCTGCTAGCCGCGCGCAAGACGACGTCGAGTGGCACCCTCGGCTGTTCAGGAGGGTCCAGGGAGGGCCCGGAGGACTGGAGGAGGGCGAAGAGGATCTCGAGTGGATCATCAACGCGACCGTGTAAGTCGCGGCATTGGTGACAGTAAGATCGTGGAAGCGTTACTGACCCGGGTGCAGAGACTCGACGGCACCACCGGAGAAGCAGACCGAGCAAATCTTGGCCATTTACCCCATTGTAGACGGCCAGGAGTTGGACAAGAGCAACGCAATCCCGCCGCACAAGGGCGCGAAGCCGACCGCGAACGACGTCCAGCCAAATGCCAACGCGGAAGAGAGCCTGATTGACTTTGGCGACCAAGCGCCGGCCCCGCAAGAGCCGCCGACGAAGAACAACGAGATCACGGACCTGCTTACCTCGACGGGCAAGCCCTCGGAGGGACCTTTACTAGACTTTACCGACGACTTGAAGAAGGACCTGCCCGCAAGGTAAATATCAACGGAAAATAACAAGGCGCAGCGCTGGGCCTGCTGTAAACGATGGAAACGAAAAGAGCAAAGACGAGAGAGCGGCGCTTTTGGCCTTCTTGAATAAGAGCCCGGCCGCTGCGGGCAGTAACTCTGTAGCTCCATCTCAATATAAAGAGATCTCTCGAGTCAAAGCCATCTAGATCGGAGTTGGTGGCATCTGTCGAAGGGCCCGGGATCTGCCTGGAGTGGGTTGGTTCCGGGCCTTGGCGTCCGATTCTACGGCTAGCAGCCGGTGGCACAGGGTCGACGACGGAGGGCTTGTTACGGGGCGCCTTGGGGCTTGGTTATTGGGAAGACACATATGGCTTTACACATTCTGCATTTCAACACACGGCGGAGCAGGTCAAGGGACTACAGGATTCAACATTTGGGCACGGCGACGAGAGAGCAAGAAACACGAGGGCGAGAGACGCCTTGCTTGCCATTTTTATAACCTCCTCTAGGGAGTTCACATCAAGGTATATGCCATGAACCGCCATAACTTGCCGCACCTGGGCCCCTCTTATCCATCACGTGAACCATTTCCGAACGCCAAGAAAACAGGGAGCCGCCTCCTGAAATCATATGATACAATCGCGCCTCCGTACGCCAGCAATGCCACGTGAATTATAGCATTCATTCGAAATTTTTTTTTCTTGTCGCATGTACAGCGCAATCATCTGCGTCTCGTGGGCTCGGGCGTGGGGGAGCGGCTGACGCTGCGCTCGTCGCGGCCGCGGAGCTTGAGCCACTTCTTGGTGCTGAGGACGAGGTCGCGCTCGAGTTCGTCGCTCGGGTTCTTGCGGTGGATGAAGTTGCAGAATCCGCCGCGCACGCAGCCCTCGCCCGAGTTGAGCCGGCAGCAGGCCTCGCGGAAGTCGGTGACGGGGCTGAGCTCGCAGTAGATGGGGCGGCCGGCGTACCAGCGGCTGTTCAGGGTGTCGCACGCCTGCTGGGCAGACTCCTCGTACTTGAACCGCGCGTACACGTTTCCGATGAGGTCTGCGACGTAGATGTTAGCACCGAACAACCCAAAATGCATGAGAGCAGCAAAGGGGGATCGCGGGGGCAACGTACGGTCATTGTTGTTGTCGCAGACGACGAGCTCCTCCAGCTCGCCGTACTTGCAGAGCTCGCACCAGATGTCCTCGTAGAAGGCGTCGAAGTGGTTCTGCAGCTGCGACGGGTTCATGCGGTTCTTGGGGTCGAAGGCCGGGTTCTGGTACAGGTTCGGCATGAGGATGGTCTGGCTGTACGAGGGCTTGACGTGCTTTCGCGAGCAGCGGTCGCCGTGACGGCAGGCGCCGATTTTCTTTCCCCCTCGATGTTAGCACCATTGTATCTAAGGAATATGGAGAGGGGACGCGTTTGGGGGTCTAAAGCAAAGCGCTGTCCGGACGGGGCTATACTCACAAAGTAGAAGGAGCAGTTGACCTTGTCAAGCTCCGTGCCGAAGATCGAGGCGAGGAAATTGGCCATGGTGACGGATCGACGGTGTCTTTCGAGGGGAAAGGGAGGTTGTTGCGGTAGAGGTGTTGCTGGGGAGGAGGATGGAGTCGGCTGTCGAGATGAATCTCGTTGAACGAAGCCTTGCCAGGTGCGCCACAGTCGGAAGGCTAGGTCACGTGTGTGGCTGATTTGTCAGTGTGGGGAATCTGGAGGCTTCTGTCCCAGCGCTCTTCTGCGACTCCAATGCGCCAGTGACCAATGGCCGCACAGCACTAAGACGGGTAGAAGCAACGACTACTTCTGTGAGCCTTCCAGAACTAGAGGCCTATCTAATCCGTTTCTCATGGTGCGGCAAGCGTCATCAAAGTTGTCAATGATGAGGTTTTGCTGTTGAGTTTTATCGTGCATGTGTAGTACATTCTACGTAGGGCGGATGTGGCGCCGCGCGTGTATCTTCCGGCGAGCCATGCTCAACTTACAGCGAAAGTATGGCAAGAGCGTGCCGCGTAGAAAGAGGGTGCCCTTTTCTTGCACAAGGGGGCTTCTTTGAAGTGGGAAATGAGTATTTACAGTTATCTCCAAGAATATCGACATGGCACCGAAATTGAAAATGACCGCCAAAGGTGGCAAGGCCGGGCCCTTAGAGCAGGAGTCAGACGAGGAGAGGCCACTCATGTTCCACATGGTCAACGAGAAGCACGGCGAGTTCTGTCAATGGTACCCTTCTACATTCTTTGTCTACAAGCACGAGATACTCGAGGCGGTTGGCCAAGACCGCAAGGAAGGCGACGGGTACGGCACAGTCTGGTTCTCCAGCGCCGAGCAGTTCATGATGTACTGCAAGGCAACGAGGTTCGGTGACCATGAGACCCAACGGCGCGTCATGGAGACCAAAGACCCCAAGGAGCAGAAGCGGCTTGGCAGGCAGACAGCCGGCTTCACGCATGCAGGCTGGGACGAGGTCAAGAGCGCCGTGGTCGAGCTCGCCAACACGGCCAAGTTTGGTCAAAACGCAGGCCTACGGACGAAGCTGCTGGCCACTGGGGATCGACTGCTCTGCGAGGCCGCGCCCGATGATCGTGTATGGGGCATTGGATTCGACGCCAAACGAGCGATGGCGATGCAGGATCGCTGGGGCGAGAATCGGCTGGGGAAAGCTCTGATGGCCGTGCGGGAGAAGCTGAGAAAAGAGGTCGTTGACTAGCTGCGAAGGGGGCCGTTTGGCGCGGACGGGAAGGGAAATGTGGCCTTCGAGTTTGAGGTTAGGCCTCAAAGGAGACGACGTTTAAGTGGACAATGGAAATATTGTCAGGAAGAGAAGGCTGGCCGACCAGCTCAAGCCGGAATATGCAGCTTCGGACAGTGTTGGAGTCGGGAATTACACGCTTGCGCCCCCAACTCCTCCAACCTCAGTTGGGCTTTAGCGGAGGGTCGCGCTAATCTCCTCCCTTCTGTAGCGCCCGCGTTCCTGGCGCCAAACCCACCTAGACGCTGTTAGGGGCACCTCAGGGACGGCTTGGACGGCCATGAATCCCCCAAAGTCATGCATTCCACGGCACCAGGATATGACTCGAGGAAGTCATTATATGCATTTGGACTTCTCAATGCGGCTCTTGCAGATCTGCTCAATAGACATAAAGGCAAACTGCGGCACAGACCCTTGCTGTACCTCTGTACCTCGTCTTTCCTGGGTACAAGCTTCGCCTGCCCTCCGTAACTTTTCTCTTTGCATGAACATGTGGCCCCCCGGCGCCTTGAGCGACAGGGGCTCCGTGCGGTAGCGCGGTGCCTGCGCCCACCGGCCTGAACCGCCAGGCGTGGACCTGCGCATCCACCTGGAACCTGACGCAGAGCGGCCTTCGTCGCGGAAACCCCCAATCCATGTCAGTCTCCGATGGCGCTCCCCAGCTAGCTACCTAGCGACAAGCCCCTTTTGCCAGGACGACGACGCCGCGACGGCGGCCCTCAACTGCAATCGCCATCCACCCTCCAGCTGCCGACGACGACGGGCAATGCCCTCCCCGAGAGCGTAGCCTGCTCCTCCGCGCCTTGCTAAGCCGTTCTTCGTCTGGCTCCTCCGTCTCCATACCGTTGTCCGCGTCGCTCGCCATCACCGCCGCCATGGACCAAGCCGACATCCCCGCGCTGCTGTCGCGCCTCGGCAGCGACGAGGATGCGGTGCGCAAAATGGCCGTCTTCAAGCTGCAAAACTCCATCAACGACCCCGCGTTCGCCGACGTCTTCATATCCTCGGGCGGCCTCGTCGTGCTGCGCCGTCTCATCATGACGTCCCTCGGCAACACCCTCGCCTACACGCTCCAGAGCTTGACGCGCCTGCTCGAAGTCGATATGGGCTGGGAGATCTTCGAGACGCCCACGGCCACCGACCTTGTCGAACGAATCGTCGAGCTCATCGTCACGAACCCGCTGGTTAACATCCTCAGGGGCGCCATGGCCATCCTCGTCGCGCTCGTCAGCCACTCCCAGTCAAGCGCCACTGCGAACTCGCCCGGTTCGGTTCCTGGCACGTTCGGCTTTCGCGCCCTCCGGCCTGCCATCGCAGTGTACCCGCAGTTCTTCGACCTCGTCGTCCAGCAGCTCCAGAGCGCGGACCACGCATTATGCGGCAACGCTCTGATGCTTATCAACGCGCTCATCCGCGATGCCCTGTCGAGTCCGGCCGGAGATGCGAATGGCTCGGCCAACGGCGCGGGTGGCAGAGAAGACTGGGCTAAGCTGGTCAAGCGTCTGCAAGATCTTGGCTTGATACGGGCGGTGTATAAGCTTATGCAAAGCTCGTCACTACAAGATCTGGCCGTGCCGATGCTCGAGTTTCAGTCTCTGAGCAAGCTACTCATACGCAAGTGGCGTGAAGTCAAGGTGGACCTGGACCGGCCAGAACATCGACGGTCGCTCAAGAGCATACACCTGACGAGTGCGCCCGAACGCGCTGCAGTCAATGGAACGCCCAAGGAGGAGAACTCGGAGACAGGCAAGAAGAAGCACAACCCCGAGAAGTGGCGGAGGCTTGGCTTCGAGACCGAGAGCCCAGCACAGGAGTTCGAAACGGCGGGATACTTGGGCATGATGGACTTGACGGACTATGTTCGACGGCATGATGACGCCTTCCAGAAGCTGCTGCTTGAGCAGGCAACACGGCCGGCTTCGGTCCGCTGCCCAGTCGCGCGAGCGAGTCTGGCGGTGACCATGATCCTATACGACCATTTTGAGGTTGACAAGACCGACCTCGAGGACACCAAGGGATACCAGGGCGTAGAGATGAAGGACCAGGACAAGCTGTTCCAGCCGCTGTTGCTGCAGTGGTCAAGGCTTCACGCGGCCGGCCTCCAAGGCTTCTTCCGAATGTGGAAATCCACAGCTGCCGAGGTCGACGATTTCGACAAAGTCGCTGAGCTGACACGTATACTGATTGAGCAAGTTGTCAGTCAGTCCACACGGACAAAAGACATATTGGAGGTGGAAGACGACATGCACGAGTACGACATCACCCGCCTGCGGAACCTGCAGCTGGAGCTGCTCGAGTTGGCATTCGAGGATACATGGGGCGAGCACCTGTACCAGGTGCGCGAGGTGCTCAAACAGGAGGCCCTCCAGTTTGTCAAGGAGCAGCGAGTGCGCTGCCTCCTACAGGGGTCGTGGTTCAGCAGGCAGACTTTGAATCGGGATGCCAATGGCGACGGCGGCAACAAGACGACAACTTCGTGGCGTTTTGCCAAGCTGTCACACAACCGCCGGTTCCTTCACTATTGCGACTTCGAGCAGCAGATGGCGCAGGACCCCGGCTTGGACAACCTGACTGAAAAGATCGACCTCGCAACCATAAGCTCCGTGGTGTCCAACGTGTCGGCGCCGAATGAGGACGCCAAGAGCACGACCAGCTCGTCGACGGTGCAGAAACTGAGCAACAACCCGAAGGCAACAACCAAGATTACCATTTTCCGATACGTCGAACCGTCAGAGGCTACCAACGGCAGCGAAGCGAAAGAGCAGCCGATGCTGACGCTTTGGCCGATGAGCCACAGCCTGGCGTCAGAGTGGCTTGACGGCCTCCTCATGTTGCTCAACCAAGCGCCGATAACGGCTGAGACTAGTAAGCTCATCAACTTGGTCAGTGACTACGGCCTAAAGATCCGGCTGCTCAACGTCCGGATGGACTCGTCGTTCGAGGGTCCGCCTCCGGGGGCTGGGGTGGTACCGAGCAGAGCGGGGCTGGATGAGGACTACTTTTTCGAGGTATAAGCAGGCGCCCACCATGTTGTTCCCTTTGTTTCATCCCCATATATACCCTTTGCTCTTTGTACTCGATTACGACGCTGGCGAGTTGTAGCGCGCATGTCGAGATCTGGTAATGAGGAGCGCTGGCGCTGGCACTTTGCTGTTGTACGATACTCCATGTCTATGGCTGAGAAGGGCGATTGGTCCACTGGTCGCCGCTTGATAGGTGTTGGCGCGGCTGGATGGCAGTATTGACCGAGATATATTGCCCCTCCCGGGCGAAGCGGTATTAAAAGCCAAAGCCGGATCCTGTCGAGTTGCGCACGAGGCCTAGAGACAGATTAGCTCGTGATAATCGAAAATGGCCAAACCGACAATTATCATTGTCTCTGCTGCGATGCACTCGTCCGCCCACTATGACGCACTTACCCATGCGTTCAACTCCATGGGATACTCTGTGGTCTGTGACAGGCTGCCGTCCTTAGATCCGGAAGAGGGCACAAGCCCGACCGTGGCAGAAGACGTGGAGCATTTGCGCCGCACGTCCGTGTTACCAGAACTCGAACGGGGGAGGGAGGTGATTGTCATGGGACACTCGTACGGCGGCTGCGTCGGGCCAGCCGCGGCCAAGGGGCTCAGCAGCAGTGAGAGGTTGGCAGATGGGAAGAAGGGTGGTGTGGTTGGCATTGTGAACATGAGTGCCGCCATCGTCGCCGGTGGCACGTCTCTCTTGAGTATATTTCCAGGAGGCAAGATACCAGCCGGCCTCGTAGCCAACGTACGCTACACCTATTGCAACATCACATACCCATCTTGCTTCTTGAAGAAACGCTCTGACAGGCACCTACAGAAAGCTTCTGGGACCTTTATGGTCGAGAACACAAAGGGTTACTACAAGGGCGTTTCCCCGGCGGCAAGCGACGAGGCCGCCTCACGACTACGGCCGCACGCGCTGTCCATCTTCAAGACGCCAGTGCCGGCAGGGGCGTGGGCCGACGCAGCGTTCGACGGGCGACGGGCGTACATCAAGACCATGGCAGACGAGGCGGTCGGCCCAGAAGCGCAGCAAGCGATGCTGGCGGCGAGGGGCGTGGCGTGGCGGGTGCTGGAGCTCGCGGACGCGGGACACTTCCCGAACATGACGCACGGGGATCAGGTCGCGAGGTTTGTCGACGAGCTGGCAATGGAGTGGACAGGTGTGAAGGGATAGGGTTTGAGATCAGGCCGCATGCTGCGAGTTTCAGACACGGTTCTCACAGGCGCGCTCGCGGGTCTGGACTCCGCGCTCATGGGTTTTACTCAAGTCACCAAGTCGCCATTGGTTGACTTGTAACCGTGATGTCGTGGCTTTCGCTCAGAGGTTGCGTACGAGTGCCGTTTCTTGTGAATAGTTCGGATTTGCGAAATCGACGAGCTGCAGGGCGGTTGCACCGCAATGTGTCGCCGTAGTTGTGGCGTGAGCTCTTCTCGCACGCAACACACTCATCACACACACACACACACACACGCACACACACCACCACCACCACCACCGTCAGGGACGCCGTTGGGTTCAAAAGCCGCTTCGAAAGCCACCAGCAGGCTTGCAGACACGTAGCTCGGGCTTCGGGCTTCGGCCAATCACCAATTATCTCGTACATGAGAGTTTGATGCGGCCAAGGCATGATGCTGCAGCTGGGCATGGAGAGAAGGCTCCTTGGCCGAACCGGAGAGACAACAAGGCAGGCAGAGCATAAACGACGAGGCCAAGCTGCCGCTGCACGAGTGAAAACAATACAGTGGAGTCGCAGGTCCCGTCGGGCAGGGACGCTGCGGCGGGTGGACCGTCGGCCGGACACAATCACACTGCATCTGGTGGCAATTGCCGGCGGTATTACTGGCCGGGCGCCCAAGGCGCACTATCGCACTGCTAGCGGGCTCTGCGCTCGATGCAGGCATGGAAAGTGTGAGGTGTGCTGCAGCTGTGTAGGTGCGGCTGCGTCGTTCGGCTACAGTGGGTTGGGGGTGGTCGGGGGTCGTTGATCGATCCAGAGCGGCGGTGACGCTGGACATGCATGGGAAAAGCGGGCGCCAGGTGTGGCACGCCGGGTAAGCAAGAAAGCGGTCGGTCGGCACTGGGCAAGCACAAAAGGAAACAAGACTTGCTTGTGATGCTAGCTTCCTGCCCCCTTTTAAACTCTTGCACCTCGAGGAGAAAAGACCGTTGCTCTCTTCTCCCTCGCATCCCGCAACAATGTCCTCGATGGGGAGCCCCGAACGGGTGGCGGGGGAATAAGGTAACCTCACGTCACCACGGCGCAGCTCGGTCCCCCAGCGCTGTCCATTGGGCATCACAGCGGACTTATCCGACGCTGCGGAGCTCGGCCGCCCTTCCCGTCCACCAGGGCACGCGAGGCAGCTCAACTCAGCTCGCATCCATCATTTGTTTCCCTCCAACCCCGCGCCGCGGAGGCAGTGCCCGAACGGTCAAATCGGTGCCATTCCAAACCCTGAGGTACGTCCGTTCATTCATGAGGGAGCATCGGTGCCGAGCTTCAACTCGAACCATGACCTGCGACTTTTGACCTCACCGTGCGTGCCAATGTCATCATCGGGCCCACGCCGAGTCCACTGTCCGGCGCGCCGCCAGCAGCGTTGGCAGCTGAGGCGAAGCCCCCCTCCCCCCCGCGAAACGGGTCCCCTGGCGTGCCCTGCCACGCCTGGCCAGGCGGACGCCCACCGCTTTGGAGCTGCTGGCGCCTGATGACTAACAGCTCCATCTCAGGGCGGAAGGCCGTCTGGCAGCAGCCCAGTGGAGGGACCCAGTCGTTCCAGTATTTACAGGTGGCCCTGTCCATGCCCGCCCGCCTAGGCACCTCAGGCCCGGGATCCAATCTAGGGAGAGCCAGGGGCACACGCGCGATTGCTGGTGCGCATCATCTCCCAGCCCCTGACGGGACGGCAAACGGCGACGCGGCATCGCACCTCGCAAAAATCGCAAAGCAAAAAAAAAGTCTGAGCGCAGACACCTTTCCCTCTTCCTTGCTTCAGCCTTTTTTGCACCGAAACGACTCACGCGCACGGCAAACCCGCATCCGCCAAAACGAAACCTACTGCACGAGCGCACCGCATTCCTCCAACGGGCACATTCTTCTGTCTCGTCCTCCCCTCCCCATCGGAAGCCCTCTCGGTATGTGCAAGAGCGCCCCTTGTCTGACTCCCTCCCCCCAAACACCAAGCATACAAATGCGCGTTGTCTCCGCCTCCCTCCCCGCATGTCCTGCTCCTCTTCGCCTCTTCGGCTTCGTCGTGTTCGCGCTCCGCGTTCGTTCGGCCCGCCTGGCGCGTACGCGGCCGGGAACGTGTCCTCTTCGTATCTTTTCGACGGTGGCGCCCGCTGACTTGCAGCTCTCCCAAGGCAACAGCAAAGCGAAACACGTCAGCAGAACCGTGCTATATCTCGGTCTCGCATCCATCATCGGCACCAGCAAGACGGTTCTGTGTCGTACATAATATTTTACAAGCTTCGCGCTACGAATTCGCGCCGAACGGACCTCAGCCAACAGTCTCCGACACGTTACCACAACACCACCATCCACAATGGCACGCATCCAGATTCCCCTCGACGCCCTGACGTCGCGCCTGAACCTCGGCGACCGCTTCCAGGGCCTCCGCTCCGGTCCGCTCAGCGGCCGCTTCTCCAACCTGCGGCCCGTCTCCGAGTTCTTCGACTTCAAGCGGTTCTCGAAGCCCTCCAACTTTGGAGAGATGCAGTCCCGTGTCAACTACAACCTCAGCCACTTCTCGAGCAACTATGCCGTCGTCTTTGCCATGCTGAGCATCTACGCCCTGCTCACCAACTGGCTGCTGCTCTTCGACATCATCCTCGTCGTTGCCGGCATGTTCCTCATCGGCCGTCTCGAGGGTCGCGACCTGGAGATTGGCACCTTCCGCGCCACCTCGTCGCAGCTGTACACGGGTCTGCTCATTGTCGCCGTGCCTCTGGGTCTGATTGCCTCGCCCTTCTCGACCCTTCTCTGGTTGATCGGCGCTTCCGGTGTGGCCATCCTCGGCCACGCCTCGTTTATGGACAAGCCAATCGATGAGGCTTTTTCCGGGGAGGCGGTCTAGGTGGTCGGCCGCGAGCTCCCAAATTTGCGCCCCAATGGGGAAGACCATCGAGGCGCGGGCGGAGGAAAACCGACGGGGATGCTGCGCAATACGACCACTGGGGGGGTGATGACCCCAGGGTCCAGGAACTGGATACGGAAGATGAGGATGACGCGGCTGCACGTGGCCTTGGGCTGTCGAGGCGTGGCACGCGGTTTGTTAGCGATGATCTTCAGTTCACAGGTATAGACTTGGGCGATCGGACAAGCGGCACGCTGCGCCGCCGGCGTTTTGGCGACTCGGAAACCGACGAGGACGGCTCCTCCTCTTCTCGAAGCGACGACATTGACGATGACGACAGCGCGTATGGCGAAGAGCCCGCCGCGCTTGCTATCGAGGACCGGGAAGAGGCATTGGTGCAATCGGCGCTCCGGCGAATCAGCAAAGCCCAGGCAAAAGGCAAGGCCGATGTCAAACTCAGCAAGGAAGAGCTCGGGGCTCTGGAGCGCAGACGCAAACGCATGCAGGAAGAAGAGGAGAGGCGGAAACGAGCGTCGGGCAGTGGGAGCGATCGCAGGAAGAAAAAGAAGGAGCAACGGGTTGCCGTACCGCTCTCGCAACTTGAACCCATCTCCCGCAAGAAGACAACAAAGGCTCAGTCTCAAGCCCAGGCTCCTCCTCGACACGCATCAGCTGGCGACCTACCTCAGGGCCACGGCTACCCACCGGTCGGGTTCTTTCCGCCTCCATCCTCCTCTCGCACTAGGCCACGATCCGGGACCACGTCTTCGAGGCCACCCAGTCGCGCCTATGATGAGCGCGGTTCATCTCCGTTCCAATACGAGTATGCGCCGCGAGCATCGACTTCCAACAGGCACGTCTCCGACTCGGTGGCTCGACCCCGCTCGTCTCGAGGCTCTCCACACGTGGAGGCTTCGGCTCTGGGAGCTCGCTCCAGCCTTGACCCTTTCCAGTTCCAGACGGCCGGCCCCCGCGCGGCGTATGCTGCCAGTGCTGTTGGGCCATCCAGACGGTACGTTTCTGGGCCCGCTGAGATGATGCACGACTCGCGTCGGAGGAGCGCGGCTCCTGGGAGCAGCCTTCACGGGTCTCGCCGCCAGAGTTATGGCGATGAGACGAGCGAGGAGAGTCAAAGCAGCGAGGACAGCAGCGACGACCGTGGCAATGGGGCGCATATTGGGGAGCACTCGGGCAGGAGAGGGGACGTGGGCATTGTGGTGGAGGTCTCGCCGGAGCGCGAGCCTGAGCCGCCGCCGCCTCTGCCTCCGCCGACCAAGAAGAAGTCGTCGTCGCCGGTCAAGAAGAAGTCGAGTTCTGGCAGTAGACGGAAGAAGAGATAATGTCTAGAGCGGACTGTAGAGACGCCTGCTCGTCCGTGTATTCGATACCTAATTGAACTTTTGAGAATCGTACTTGATGGCAACGGTTCAACCATGCAGTCCGGAGCTGTCGCAACCTCCAAATGGCATTTGTGACATGTCGAATTCAGAGTGTCAAGCAGAATGATGCGGTCGTGATACGGCGGCTGGTGGATGACTGAGCTGGGTCACGGAAGCCGAATGGCCGACTTACACATCGCGCACGCACTTGCCCCAGACGGTCGGCGCGCAGCCTCGGCTCTGCCCGCGCCGGGGGGTGGACCCCTGTCGGAGGCGGGAGCTCTTCAGCTGCCGTGACCACGGGACCTCCACCTCGAGGCATTGGGTTTCCATCTGCTGCATCTTGCATTCTACACCAACCCATCCCTGCATCGCTCTGGTGTGACAATTGGCGACGGCGACGCGACTGCCTAAGACGTGTATACGGAATCGCAGACCGAAGAGCCGACGCCGCCGCAATTCAACCCGCAGGCCCGAGCACGCCGCGCCGACATCAACCCCGACCGGCGGCCCTCGCCACCTCACGTCGGCGCCTCACATCACACAATCCACCTCTCCTTCCCCGCGTCTCCAGGGCATTGAAATCAAACGGCCCGAGCCCTCCATCACATAATGTCATCACGCGGCAAGTCGTCGGGCGGTGACTCGGCCAAGACGGCGACCAAGCGGCTCATCAAGGAGCTCGACGTCTGGCGCAAGGAGCAGCGCGACGAGCAGGGCATCGAGCGCCTCGGCCCCGTCTCCGAGGACAACCTGCTCGAGTGGGAGGCTGTCATCAACGGCCGCGGCATCGGCTGCGGCTACGACGGTACGTTTACGCTGCTGCCCCTTTACTTTACTCCTGCGGCGCCCACCCGCCCGCCAGTTCCCGTGTTCCTTGAACCGAAGCCATACCCGGCCAGCTAACTTTGCGTGCGCCTCCCACAGCCGGCCGCTGGCTCCTGAGCATCTCCGTACCCGCCGCGTACCCCTTGCAGCCGCCCAAGATGCGCTTCGCCACGCCCATCGTGCACCCCAACATTGCGCTCGCGACGGGCGAGATATGCCTCGACCTGCTCAAGGACGCGTGGACGCCCGCCTACAGCGTGCTCGAGTGCGTGCGCGCCGTGCGCATGCTCCTCGGCTGCCCCGAGACCGACTCCCCGCTCAACGTCGACGTCGCCGCCCTGCTGCGCCAGGGCGACGTCCTGGGCACGCGCAAGCTCGTCGAGTGCTGGTGCGCGGACGACGGGGGCCGCTACGACGGGCCTTAGATGCGGCCGTGGCGGCCAGGGGACATTGACGGGGGAAGAACGAGGACCAGACATGGGAATGGGCTGCCGGCGCGCACTGGCAGAGTGCTGGGAAAGGAGCAGGGACAGAGATATCACATAGACCCCCGGATCTGAGGGACGGCGTTCGCCTAGTCACATTGCTTTGAAATCTGCACGTTATGACGATGAGTCTGCTTGTCAGAACAACCTACTACTATACCGAGCGAAATGCATGGTCATTTGTCAATTCTACTCAACAGAAACCAAAAAAGTTTGTGCCAACACATGAAATTCTTGTGGATGCACACACACCCGTCTATGCCCGCCGTAAAACGCTATGGCTCTTCCACTCGCCCTTCAGCGTGTCGTTGTACATTGAAACCATGACGTGATTGGAACTGACATCAGACTCTGGCAAGCGACGATGCAAGAGGGATGACACAAAAAAAAGGGTGCTTTCCCGCAGGCTGCGTCAGCTTTACGCCCAAGTCCGCAAAGCGTTCCCCATCCCGCGCCCGCCCGTCGCTCGTTCTTTTCCCTTCCAGTCCCCTGTTATAACAATGAAGAAAAATCATATATGCATCCAACAACGCCTGTCCGTGCCTCCCGCAAGAGGAATGAACCACGCCCAGCTTAGCGTGCGGGTGGCACAAGGTCCTGGCCACACAAGCCACGACCAAACGGTCGGTGTCCGGCTCGCCAGTGTAGACCCGGGAAAGGTACCTCTTGGACGGGTCTAATTCTGTATCATATCGCCGTTCGCAGTCCCGGTTTTACTCATTATAGTGATAGACCTAACATTGTGTTAGCCGGACATCGCAACCCAGTAAAGAAGCGGGATACTCGCCCTGTAGTTAGGAAGGCCGTATGGTTGCCATCCTAGACGCTTCGCCATGCGTGCGAAGCCCTCCGTCTCAATGAGATGATAGAACGCAAAGGGCGGGAACATGGCGCCGTCGCGGTGGACGTCAGCCTTGACCAGAAGGGCTGTGCCGCCAACGCCATCGAGAGGAACAACGAGATCCGTGTCGCCGCCCTCGGAGGACATGTGCGCCATCAGGGTACGATATGTCGCCATTTCCGCGTATCCCTCTAACAAAATGTCGTCGGGCCCCATGGTGGCTGCCATGTTCTTGGCAATGTCGCTGTCCTGCCAGCTGTTGTAGTCGTACGGACGCTCATCCATCTTCTTCTTCTCCTCATTGTAGTATCGCTGGAAGCAGTTGGCGACGATGAGGGGCTTGTCGTGCTTGGCAAGATCCTGGATCAAAGTGGGCGGGGATTCGACGATATCGGAGTCGAGCCACAGCACCCATGAAGTAGCTGGACCGAGCGTGGTGAAGAGCAACGAGTTGCGCGCTTTGGCCATGACGGCTCGGCGCGCCTTTTGGTTCGACATCTTGTGGCGCTCGCTCTCATCCTGCGAGGCAAGGGCAGGATCGAAATCCTGCCGCAGGATGATGATGCTCTTGAAACGATCCTTCTCAGGGCCGCGCTTCTGCGTCTTCTCGATTTGCTGCTGAAGGGCCGCCGTGGCCGCGTTGCCTTCTTTCGTCTTGGGGAGAATGAAGCCGAGGGTGATGAGCTCGTGCGGGTAGTTCATTCGCAGCAGGTTGTCCCAGTACTTTTGATAGAAACGCGCCATCGGGGTAAGGATCAGGATGTGCTCGCGGTTCTGGACCGGGTTCGACGTGACGGTGACATGATTAAGGTTGTATTTCGTGACGGGCGGCGGCCCAAGCTCGCTCCCAGACCGTCCGCTGGGCTTCTTGTACGGCGACGTAGGCGGTGAAAGGTGATGTTCAGCCGTAACCGACGGGACGCGACGTGTCGAGCCGGAGCTGGAGGGTGAGACGAGGAAGAAGAAGATGAAGATGCAGAGAACGGCGCCAAGAAGGAGGGTCAAAGGATTCGCCTTCTTGAGACGGACTGACCCCATGGGTCGAGCCATGGAGGCGGTCGGGGTTGCCGCTGTCTTCAGGCAGCGGTCGTCGGCGGCGAGGGCATATACGAGTGTTCAGGTCGAGGGGTGCGGTGGCATCGACGTGGCCGTTTCGAAAAGAGGGCTGAACCGTGTCGCGCGGTCGCAAACGGTCTCGCCCAGGGCAGAGGGCAGCGTCAGCGGGAACGAAAGAAGCGACAAAAGAATGCCCGCGAAGACACGCGACGAAATTGGAAAAAGTCCCTCGCTTCGCTTGTCGCAAGAGAGGGAGATGGCGAGGGCGAGGGCTGATGAAGAAAATACGAGAAGAGTGGACAAGCTTTGGGAAACCCCCCCTGTCTCCAGAGTCGTTGGCATCCAGCGGATAAGGGATATTCGCTGAAGGGGCCAGCTAAGGCGTACAGTTGAATTGCGGCGCCCGAACTTGGCTTAGGGGGCATTCAAGCGGAGAATTGCCGGGCCGCTAAGGGAGCGCCTGCAGAGGGACGGGATGGCTGTGGTTTCTCGTGCTGACGGAACGCAGGAGAGCGACTCCGGTCCGCGCCAGCCAATTTGGCGGCCCCTCTCCCCCCAGCGCTGAGCACCACGTCGCAGCGCCGCGGGGCATCAGCCAACGGCCGGGATGGTTCATTACACGCGACAGGGCATTGACCAGGTCCCGTTGACGAATCTCTGCAAGGGCTGCAGTCCGAGCCCGTGCCTACTTGGCATTTCGTTCTTCATATTATGTACAGAGGTACGAAGCTGCAGGTGAAACAAATAAATTCGGCGCGCAGCAAAGACCCAGCTTCATGGACGTCCCAAGCACCAGGCTCGTAACCCTGCCCACTGATGTCACTCGCCAGCAGCCCCTGTCGCAGGCCGATTCAGAGCGCCCCTAGCACGACAGCACAGACTGCCCACAGGAATGCTCTCCTACCTGGTAGGTATCGCAATCTGCAGCTGCTCACGAGGGTGCACCCGTCATCATGAAGAACTGGTTCCACCATGCCAAACGTCCTTTGGCTCGGTTGCGCCCGCGCTGCACGGTTCGCAGGCATCGATCTTCCTCGACTGCCCCGGGCAACGATAGGCGAGCAACCCTGAACCTGTGCAGTGGCACTCGGCCCCAGATCCGAACCCGTTAGGCACCTTCCCAAAGCCATTAATGTAGGTCGTCAGTGGCCGCGACCCATCGTTACGGTCCCCGCCTGTGGGCGACTCGGGCAGGGGATGTTCAGGGGCTGCGCTTGGTATGGATGGGTTCCAAGGTCGTGCCCGTCTGTGCATCTGGCCAGCCCAGTGTCTGGCCTGACCGTCTTAGTGGACGCAGGTGCCACAACGTGCCCCCCACACGCGCGCACTCCAGAGGGACGGAATTCTGCCAGCGTGGACACTCGGCGCACCCACCGCCCTGGCTAGCAGCTGCCGTTCTGCCAGTCGGCTTTCGCGTTCCCCACCCTGTCACTCCAAACAGTCGCATTCTCAGCCTCATCATCAACACTTCGACGCAGATCGCGGATTCTCCGTCTTGACCTTTCGCTGCAGCGCTGCATCCAACACCCGCTCGGCCGTTACAATTTTGACGGGCTCTACCCACCCGCCTTGCTCTCCCGTTCCCCGCCCTTTCGAGGCTACGAGGGCCTCTTTCCACCGCGCCAGACATGGCCGACAAAATGGATCGCGGTCTCGATGAAATCATCGCAGACACAGTACGTTCGGCCGCCAGGACAGCCGATTACGGACGGCTCGCCGAAGACCTCCAGCACTGACGATGTCCACAGCGCAGCAGCGGTCCTCGAAACAGACGCGGCGGTGGCGACCGTAGACGCGATCGCAATGACTATCCTCGCGACGGCGTTAGAAAGGTGAGCCAGGTCCTGACTCTCCCCGGCTTTGTCCCGCGTCTCTTGTTGACGCGAGGCCGCCTCCAGGTTGAATTCTCCTCTCCGCTGTCCTCGAGTCGCTGGTCCCCGTCAGCCCTCAACCACCTGCGTCGATTGGTTGTCGAGGCCACCTAGCGATACGACGCACGAACCTTGCTGCGAAGCTTATAGCTGACCATCGCCTCCCTCGTTCCGAACAGTCCACCCGAAACGAGCCCAGAGCCATTGATAGGTGAGCTAGCCCGCTTGAGGACTCTCTCTGGGTTTCGGCCGCTAATCGTAACAGCGAGTGGGTTCACGATCGCTACGAAGAGAACAACAGTACGGACCCTCACGGATCACTGCCGCGAGGCCAGGCCTAATCAGCGCGTTTGCAGGCTCCCGCAGAGCTCCCGCTCCTCGTCGCCGCCGCGATTCCCCCGGCCGCAGGTACGAGTCGTGTCTCCAACCCTCGTGCGTCGCGTCGCGGCTAACAGAATGGCCTAGCGAGCCCACTGGGTCGAAATTGAAGGTCGAAAACATCCACTATGACCTGACCGAAGACGATCTGGACGTCAGCATACCCCTCCCACGCCCTCGAAGTTTCCCCGTCTGATGCGAAAGCAGGAATTGTTTGCCAGAATCGGCCCCGTAGTGCGACTCCAGCTACTCTATGACCGCGCTGGACGCTCCGATGGCACAGCCTACGTGACGTACGAGCATCGAGACGACGCGCTAGATGCTATCCGCCAATACGATGGCGCAAACGCAAACGGTATGTTCTTTGCCATGGTCAATGGCGCCTGGGGAGCTGCTCACTGTTGGGTACAGGCCAACCGATCCGACTGACGCTGATGCCGTCGCGAAACCCATTCGACACGGCCGTCATGCCCGGGCGCCCTTTGGCGGAGAGAATTTCAGCTCCCGGCGGCAGATCTCGATCGTTGTCACCGCGGCGCCGATACGACGAGGGCGACGCCGCACGCAAGGGTATTGATAGGTACATCCCCGGCGGTGGCAATCGCTCCAGGAGTCCCATGCCTCCCCGCCGTGGAGGACGTCGTCCTGGCGGCAGGCGTGATGGGGGTGCCCCCAAGGAACAGGAAGGGGGTCGTGGCGGGCGAGGAAATCCGAGACCTAAGAAGACTCAAGAGGAACTCGACGCTGAAATGGCGGATTACTTTGGAGGTGGCAGTGGAGGCGCTGCTGCCGCAGGGTCCGAGGCTCCCAACGGCAGTGCGCCCGCTCCGGCTGCGCACGAGGACCTGGATATGATCGAGTAGAGTCATTCCACAAGATGGGGAGGCATCGAAGCTCTACTCTTCGTTGGCGGGTGATTGGGAGACTGGCGCTCACCTATCTCATGGCCATTTCATGCCGTGGTTGGACATTCGGAAACAATTGTCTTCGGCCCATCGTCTGGAGGGGCCAGGACACTGCATGCAAAGCTGTATGGAAGCAGAATGTACGCTAGTGACTGCGTTATGCAAATGTCCATCTTGGTGTCTTCTCAAGTTTGCGACGGTGTAGTCCGCAACCGCCAAGGCGGAATATTATAACTTTATTCTCAACTCAGTTTTATTTCCATGGAACCCGTATGTTACCGTGGTACGACGTTGTAAACTGAGATCGCTGGCTCGTCTTAGCTGCCGAAAGCCCTCGCGGACCTAGCTCGTGCCTCGAATGGATGTGCTCTTAGTCTTACTAATTGCAGCCAACACCAGTGCACCAAGTTCTCTTCAACCATAGTTCCTGCTTAGCGAAATCTTCAACTTTGCAAGGTTCCGCAACTCATCATGTCAGCCGATTCCGATCCAGTCACTGTGGGCGTGTTGTCCTTGGGCGACATGGGCGCCGGGATCGCGAGGTTGCTCAAGGCGCGGGGCTTCCTTGTCGCGACGAATTGCCAGGGCAGGAGGTTCGTCGTAGAGCTCCTGTTGCACTCGCGCGAGTGCCGATGCTGACTTTTGTTTCTTAGCCAAGACACAGTTGACAGGGCAAAGGATGCCGGTATTGAAACACTGTCCTCGGACCTAGACCTCGTTCAGCGCTGCGCCGTCATCTTGTCGGTCCTCCCTCCGAGAGATGCAGAGGCCACCGCCCAACGGGTCGCCGATGCGCTCTCAGGTCAGCATCGCAAGGAGCCTCTCTACTTTGTCGACCTCAACGCGGTCTCGCCCTCGACTTGCAAGGGCATAGCCGCAATGTTCCAAAAGGCCCAGGTCCCGGTCCGCTTTATCGACGGATGCATCCTCGGCGGCCCGCCGCGGCTCCGGGCAAGCAATGGCGGTGCCCCGGACTCCCTTCAGAACAAGGACTCGGATCCCGAGTGGCGGCGTCCGGACATCCCCATCTCAGGGCCCGACTCGCTGTCTTCGCTAGGCCCAGAAGGCGACCGGCTCGCCTCGGTCCTCAACTTCCGTTCTATCTCGCCCGACATCGGCGCCGCGAGCGGGCTCAAGATGTGCTTCGCCTCCATCGCCAAGGGCTTCACCGCGCTCGTCACGCAGTCCTTCACTACCGCGGAGCGCCTCGGCGTCGCCGGCGAGCTGAAGCACGAGCTGGCGGACATTCTTCCCAACCACCTGGCCACGGCGGAGCGGAGCGTGCCCGACATGCCGCCCAAGGCGTACAGGTGGGTGCGCGAGATGGAGGAGATTGCGGACACGATGCACGAGGAGGGCGGGTGGAGCAGGGACCTGTTTCGAGGCGTGGCGGGCGTGTACAAGGCTGTTGCGGACGACGAGGTGCTTGGCAAGGAGAAGATTGGCAAGAGAAGCAGGGGCACGAGCTTGGAGGATGTTGCAACGGCCATGGCTGAGGGTCTTGAACGCAAGAGGAAGAAGACTGAGTAGGCGCATCTGACTGTGAACGCGCACTTTCGTTCCTTGTTACTGGTCGTATTTGATGTATTGAGCATGATACATAGCGTATTTTAGTTTCAAGATATCATGACCTTGGTATTCCAGAGCCGTGAGCTCAGCGTGATGGAGGAGAACATGTTGTTATAATACAAAGTAGGCGGTGCGGCGCTACATCAGAGCAGCTGTGCCCGCATCCGCCAGCGCTCCGGCTCCTAGGAATCCCAGGAAGCCGCCGCCTTCACCGTCCTCCCTACCAGCAAACACCCGTGAGTTGGGAACGCTCAGCTTGGACTCTTCAGTAAGCCCAGCTTCTGAGCTCGAGGGCCCAGACACAAAGATACCCTTGCTGGACAGTCCTCCAAAATGGCCGTCCACCAGGTACCCGCCCGCCGGAATATCGGCATCCTTTGAAGCTTCCGTTTCTCCGGGTACACCGAAGATGACGCCCGACGACGTGGACAAGACGTCCTCGGTGGGAGCTTGCGCGGGGATAAAGAATTGGATTTGTGACCCGGTGGGTGCAAACCCAGAATTCTCCATGGTCTGCATGAAGCGGGCCATCTCTTCCTCTTCGGACAGAGAGAAGTGCGTCCGCTGCGGGTCGAGCGAGAGAAGCCCCTTCTTAGGCCCCCAACCTCCTCCACCGCTCACTAGCTACAGTCAGTTTTACTCTCATGCCGGCGAAAGTGTGGACTTACAGATTTGGTAAAGGTGCGCGCCAGAGCTAAACTCCTGTTCGATATACTTTGCTGTAATCTCGACGGCGTCTCGCGTGGCTCCCTTGCCTTCTAGGATTGGCGTCGGATCGGGGGCGTTGTCCGGTTCCGCTACCGGGGACACCATTGCCCAAACGCCCATGGGCCCTGTCGCTGCCGTCCTGTACTTGAACATTGTGTTGACCGAGTCTTCTAGCTCAGTAGACGCGGGCTGTGACTTGCCGTCTACTTCAACGCCACGGATAATGTTTCCGAAACTCTCCGTAACGACTCGGGCACGCGTTATCGGAGACAGCGGTGCCCACAGACCGAGCTCTGAAGTGGACTGCAGGGGCTCATCGAGCGACACGTTGATACGCTGCGAGTGCTTCTCGCCACTTTGTGCGAGCTTCGGCGCGCCTTGTGTCAAGTCGAAACGGGATGTTAGGAGAGTTGACGCCCGGTTGTTGTGAAAGGTTGTCCTGGCAAGAGGAAGAGTGACCCAGGGGCTGCCTAGGCTGAAGGTCAATGCGGACACGGAATCCGCGTCATCTCTGGACTTCGGCGGAGACGGAAGCCAGAGCTCAGGGAGAGTATCGTCCAGGCGCCCTCGGAGGATGGAGAAGCCGTGCATCTTGCCCGACTCGCCGAGCGCTGGCGTCACATGGTCCACTACCGCACAGAGCATATGAAAATGGCCAACACCAGAAGCCCCGGAGAGCGCCTTTGCGAATCTCCCAACCACGTCGCTGCTCTCCAGCTGCCTGGCAAAGTTGGGGGTGGCAAGGATCACCGCGGCATCATGCCCGTCAGGGTTGTCCAAGATGCCACTTTCCTCGAGCTTGGAAAATATGTGACCATGGTCCTCCTAACAACGTTAGCCGCTTGCTCTAGTAAGGACGTATGTGTCACTCACCTCCGCGTGCGCCGGCAGAAAGTAGGAGAATCGTGTCTGCTTGCTCGTGACGCTGCTCGAGTACAGGCGCCGAAAGCCAACCGTGACTACACGGGTTCGAAGGCCCCTCAAGCCCCAAAGATGAGTGCAAGGTGCCATGAGGTGCTACGGCCTTTCCATATGAAGCAACGGCGATATCGGAAGATTTGCAATGTGACCGCAGGCAGTAGAAGGGTCATGCTGCGATGACATGGGCCGTGATGGAACAAAGTGTGGCTGACGGTGTGTGGCTGAAGCTTGCCGTCGAGGTACAAGGTACCTGCAAAGCCCCCCCGTAGCCGCCCCAGCCCACAGTACTGGACCCCTCACCATCCCACCTTGACCAAAGTGGTTGCGGTGTCGCCAAAGTCCGTGACTCAAAATTTGGAGTGTCAACAGGCCTAACTGCCACACCGAGACTCTACGTTCTTGAGTCATTCGGTTTCCCTCCTCTGCCGGCCATCAATTCGTCGTATAAGACAGTCACCGAAGCCCTTCTTCTACCGGGCTTCAGCATCAACTGTCCAGCACGACGTTCAGACTCGCCGTTCGAGCACTTCGGGTGCGATCAGTCTCCCCACGACGACCCTTGACAACCACCACACGTGCCGCCATGGCGACCAACAGTGCGCGCGGAAATCCCAGTATGCTCTATCCAACCTGCCCTAGCACCTCCCATCCCGCCTCTGCAACCATGTCTAACCCTTCTGCAGTTGGTGCGAGCGAAGGCCTCGCGGAGAGCACGAACACCCCGCCGTCGATGCCGGCCGAGACGAAGCAGCAGATCGCCAATGCGACCCAGACTGGCGCTTCCGGCGTTCATGCCTCCGGCCCTGACGCTGGTGCCGCTACCGGGGCCGCACCAAAAGTGAAGACAGAGAAAGAGTGTAAGAGACCGACTCTCCGCGCGTGCTACAAGAAGATTGTCGCCCCTCTGACACCGAGACCATGTAGTGGAAAAGGAGCGCAAGAAGGCTGAAAAGGCCGCCAAGCTCGAGGCCAAGAAGGCAAAGGCCGCCCAGTTGGCTGCCAACCCTGCCAAGGAGAAGAAGGCCAAGGAGAAGAAAGAGGAGGAGGTTATTCCGGAATATGTCGAAGATACCCCCGCTGGCGAGAAGAAGCGCATTCGACCGTTCGACGACCCCAACTTCAAGGCCTACGATCCCATCGCCGTCGAGTCAGCCTGGTACGACTGGTGGGAGAAGGAGGGCTTCTTCAAGCCCGAGTTCACCGCAGATGGCAAGGTCAAGGAGGCCGGCAGCTTCGTCATTGTCCATCCTCCGCCCAACGTTACCGGCTCTCTGCACATGGGCCATGCCCTGGGTGATTCACTGCAGGATGTCATGGTTCGATGGAACCGTATGAACGGGAAGACGACTCTGTGGCTCCCTGGTTGCGACCACGCTGGCATTTCGACGCAGAGCGTCGTCGAGAACATGCTGTGGAGACGGCAGCAGAAGACTAGACACGATCTCGGCCGTGAGAAATTTATCGAGACCGTTTGGGAGTGGAAAGAGGATTATCACAAGCGTATCAACAAGGCTCTGACGCACATGGGTGGTTCTTTTGACTGGAGTCGGGAGGGTGAGTTCTCCCTTCATCTTGGACATGCAAAATACTAACATCAAGCAGCTTTCACCATGGACGCCAATCTGTCTGCCGCTGTCGCCGAGACATTCGTCCAGCTGCACGAAGAGGGCATTATCTACCGAGCAAACAGGCTCGTCAACTGGTGCACGAAACTCAACACCGCCCTGTCCAATCTTGAGGTCTCCAACAAGGAGCTCACAGGCCGCACGCTCCTTGATGTCCCCGGGTACGACAAGAAAGTCGAGTTCGGCGTCATTGTGCACTTCAAGTACCCCGTTGAGGGCTCTGACGAGACCTTGGAAGTCGCCACTACCCGTATCGAGACCATGCTTGGCGACACTGGTATTGCCGTCCATCCCAAGGACGAAAGGTACAAGCACCTCGTCGGAAAGACCGCCATTCACCCCTTCATCGAGGGCCGCAAACTCCCCATCATCGCCGATGACTACGTCGACATGGAGTTTGGAACCGGTGCCGTCAAGCTTACACCGGCCCATGACCCCAATGATTTCACTCTTGGCCAGAGGCACAACCTTGAGTTTATCAACATCTTGACCGACGATGGTTTGATGAATGAGAACGCCGGCCCGTTCAAGGGTCAAAAGCGCTTCGATGTCAGGTACACTATCGTGGACGCCCTGAAAGAGAAGGGCCTGTACGTCGACAAGAAGGACAACCCGATGAAGGTCCCTCTGTGCGAGAAGTCCAAGGACGTCATCGAGCCCATTATGAAGCCCCAATGGTGGGTTCGCATGAAGGAGCTGGCTGAGCCTGCGATCAAGGTTGTCCGAGACGGGCAGATCAAGATCCGGCCCGACACTGCTGAGAGAAGCTACTTCCGCTGGCTTGAGGACATCAACGATTGGTGCATTAGCAGACAGCTCTGGTGGGGTCACCGATGCCCGGTCTATTTCGCCAGGATTGAGGGAGGATCGGGCGGTATTCCTGAGGACAAGCTGTGGTTCTCCGGCCGGACACAGGATGAAGCTCAGAAGAAGGCTGCTGCCGCTCTGCCCGGCAAGAAGTTTACCCTCGAGCAAGACGAGGACGTCCTCGACAGTATGTCCCTCTCCCCCGTTTTACTGATGGTTTGTGTCTGACGCAGCATAGCTTGGTTCTCTTCTGGACTGTGGCCCTTCAGCACGCTGGGATGGCCTAAGAAGACCCACGATCTGGAGACCCTGTATCCCACATCCGTCCTCGAGACCGGGTGGGATATCCTGTTCTTCTGGATTGCCCGCATGATCACCCTAGGCCTCAAGATGACTGGAAAGATCCCCTTCAAGGAGGTCTACTGCCACAGCCTTGTCCGTGACTCCGAGGGCCGCAAGATGAGCAAGTCTCTGGGTAATGTCATCGACCCACTGGATGTCATCTCGGGTATTAAGCTGGAGGATCTGCATGAGAAGCTCACCCAGGGTAATCTGCATCCCTCTGAAGTCCAAAAGGCGACCAAGTACCAGAAGACCGCATTCCCCGACGGCATTCCCCAATGCGGCGCTGACGCCCTGCGCTTCACCATGATCAATGCCAGCACGGGCGGCGGTGACATCAACTTGGATGTCAAGGTTATTCATGCCTATCGAAAGTTCTGCAACAAGATCTTCCAGGCTACCAAGTACGTCCTGGGTAGTCTGCCACAAGACTTTACTCCTTCAAAGGAGGGCGCTGTCAGGGGCAAGACGCTGGCGGAGCGATGGATCCTTCACAAGATGAACACCGCCGCCAAGGAGATCAACCAGGCCCTGGCTGATCGGGAGTTCTCGAAATCCACAATCCTTGTCTATCGTTACTGGTACGGTGAGCTGTGCGACGTCTACATCGAGAACTCGAAGGCCATCATCAGGGACGGCACCGAGGAGGAGCGCAACTCTGCCATTCAGACGCTCTACACTGCCCTGGAGGCTGCCTTGACGCTCATCCACCCCTTCATGCCGTTCATCACGGAGGAGATGTGGCAGAGGATGCCTCGTCGCCCTGACGACAACACCAAGTCCATCATGCTCGCCAAGTACACTCAGTACAACCCCATCCTGGATGACCCTGAGTCGGAGACTGCGTACGAGCTCGTCTTGGGCTGCACAAAGGCCGCTCGGTCACTCATGGCAGAATATTCCCTCAAGACGGACGCCGAGGGTAAGTTAATCTCGATGCCTGCCCTCTTTGTAAATCTGCTAACAATGCATAAAGTCATTATCCAGGCGTACAACGAGACATCGCTGCAGACGTGCCAGAATGAGGTCTCTTCGATCAAGTCCCTCAGCGGCAAGGCTGTCAAGGACATGAAGGTCATCGGACCGGACGCTCCTCGTCCTGCGGGCTGTGTTGCCTACCCAGTCTCAACCAGCGCGGCTGTCTTCTTGCACGTCAAGGGACGCGTCGACATAGATGCGGAGATTACCAAGGCGCAGAAGAAACTGGACAAGGCCAAGGCGACGGTCCAGAAGCAGGAGAAGATCCTGGCCGACCCGGGCTACGTCGACAAGGTCTCGGCGGCTGTGCAGGAGACGGATCGCCAGAAGCTGGCGGATGCCAAGCAGGAGGAGCACAGCTTCGAGGAGACGATCAAGCAATTTGAACAACTGAAGCTAGAGTAGACGATATATTAGGCGTAGAGATAAATGGTTAAGAGTCTCCCTTTTCGCACAGGTGCAAATGATTAGTAGCACAGGCAGCCTGTAGTTCGGGATTGCAATCATGCGGCCTGCCAGGACCACCGTTTCTTTCTGCTACAGCGATCTGGCACCGCAACGGCCTGCCTTAACGCCAGTAAATATCCTAGGTACACGGTCGTAACTAAGTAAATACGTTATATATCGCTAATATTACTTTCGTTCCTTTCGTTCCTTTCGTTCCTTTCGTTCCTTTCGTTCCTTTC